TGTCTAGAACCTTCCAGCTAATGTACAAGTTCCAGCTATTGATGTTAAGTGTACACATGTACACATCAGAGAACAGAACTAGTGTGTACTGAGTACACATCAGAGATGTGATCCTTATATATCAAATACAAGTACATCTATATTTCAAGAACTGTAACCGCACTTAAACATCGCAGAGTAGAAACACAAGAGCTCATGTGTTACGTCCCTTTGCATACATTTAATACCATAAAATTTCTTTTCCGTCTTAACGGATTTTGTTTCCCACGTTTTCTTTAACTTGCTTTCTCTGTTTGTGTGTTTGTCTTTCCAATCAAATCTTGCGATCGAAATTTCTGGCACTTCCCAGTTAGCTAGCGCGCTGAAATTTTCAGGGAAGCTTTCTTTTGGATGACCATTGAATATTCAATTGTTATTATTACTAAATTGATCAATGGAAACATTTTATTGAGCATTTTAGACCGCTATATAATCTATATATATAATTCTCCTCTGCTAGCCATTAGAAAAAAAACCAGCGACGCGTACCTCGCGCGCAGTGAAGCGAACGATCACATGTCGCCACAGGCTTAGGGGCAGAGAATTTAGCTTGAACCGAGTTTAAACTTACAGGAGGTAGACCAGTTTGGGGGAGACGATATGGTCGAGTGGTTGGGCACACGATTGCTATCCCACTCGACACGGGTTCAAATCTAGTGTTCTAGTCAGTAACGTTTTTTACGAGTTGTCTTTTTACGAGTTGTCTTTTTACGAGTTGTCTTTTTACGAGTTGTCTTTTTACGAGTTGTCTTTTTACGAGTTGTCTTTTTACGAGTTGTCTTTTTACGAGTTGTCTTCGTTTACCCAAAAAAAGTGAAAAGATAAAATCGATAGCAAGATTTTAATGCAAACAAACAGACAAAGACTAAAAAGTAGAAAATAATAATCATTAAAAAAGTTTTAAAAAACCCACGTTTTCTGATTGAACTAAAAAGTAGAAAATAAATGCTATAGGCCCTACATCACAATAATGCAAGCGATCACTCTACTATAAGCGAGCAAAAACGTGGGGCGCCGTGATTTTCTTACAGTTTCTAATACTGTTGACTCTCTACAAGCTCCCTAATAAAAGTCAATAGTATTATCTAATCAATAGTAATATAACTTTTACTTCGGCGCCCCACGTTTTTCATCGCTTATAGTAGAGTGATCGCTTGCATTATTGTGATGTAGGGCCTATAGCATTTATTTTCTACTTTTTAGTTCAATCAGAAAACGTGGGTTTTTTAAAACTTTTTTAATGATTATTATTAGTTATGTTGATGCATGGAAGGCGAGGCGATTCGGTGCCGTGAGGAGTGGTAGGTTCGGAACCCGTCTGGTCTGTCTGTTCTGTCTTAAGTTGGACTATATTCTGTACCTTTATCTACCCTTGGCGTTGAAATAACACTTTCTGTTTACATTGCTATTTCAGTCACAACGCCTGCTTCCACCCCTCACCAGTCCCCAGTTTAATACTTTATATCAACTAAGGGCCATAACTGATTAAAAGATTTGTGACAGACGTTTTTTAAATTATAGAACTTTTCTATATGAGTGAATCATAGAATGTAGCTCTGTATTTACATCCCACTCTTTTTCTACCGTTCAATGGGACAACTCCCATTATTTTACCATAACACAAACAGAAAAAATGTTTTTCTACGCTTGTTCACCCTTACCTCTCCCACCCCCTAGGGGATAAAACTATCTAAAGGAAACACAGAAGCAGACGGAATGGTGACGTCAAATCTCACCTACATCTCGTTTGTCTCAGCTGCTGACGACGTTAATTAAACCACTTAATTAATCCAGCCGTAATGTACTTGTGAATTATTAATGTGAGATGCAAAGAAGGTAGGATCTGTTGTCTTACGTCCCCTGACATGTAAGTTGTCTTCCCTTGTCTGGGTGATACTGCCCCCCCCCCCTCCCCCTCATGTGTTGCTCTGTTGATATCAACACTAAAAAACACACGTACACATTACACACTAAACTACACACGTCGAATGCACCGTACACTCGACAACACATCTGAACACACAACACAATTAGATAAGACGCATTAACAAACCATACTGACTCTTCCCCCCCACCCCACAACAACCACCACAACAACCACAACCACCACCACCCCAACGACCACAGCCACCACAACCACCACCACCATAACCACCACAACCACCACCACCATCACTACCACCACCATCACCACTACCACCAAATCACCACAACCACCCCCACAACCACCACAACAACAAACACCACCCCCACAACCATAATGAACTCAGTGCGTCGTGGTGTAAAAGAGGTCTATACGGCATACGACGGGTACACGTATAGACCACCTCTCTCACAGTACACAAAACAAACTTGACAGACAGCGGTGGGCTGTTAAGATCAGATCGACTTAAAATCTACATGCACTCTAGCTTGTTGATGTGTATATAACCAACCAACCATTAAGACATAACTCGATCAGCTGCCCCCCCCCCCCACCTGGTGAGACCGACCACGACAGCGTCGTGCTGCTACTACAGAATGTCCGGTTTGTCGTGGACATCCCACCTGTCTGGTACCGTCGTGTTTACCTGGTTCTAGGTTGTTTACCTGCCCGTGTCAACTCACGCGACAGATATCCTAAGGTGCAGACATCAATTCAACACGTTTGACTTCTGCTGAGGAATCAAAACCACGGACGACAACGCGTCAATGGTCCAGCAGAACCAATAAACTGGAACCAGCATTCGATTTGGGAGTTGAGGAGCTGGAAGGATGGTAGATGCCGGTAGAGTTAGGAGCTGGAAGGATGGTAGAAGCCAGTAGAGCTGGAAGGATGGTAGAAGCCAGTAGAGTTAATAGCTGGAAGGATGGTAGAGGCCAGTAGAGTTAGGAGCTGGAAGGATGGTAGAGGCCAGTAGAGTTAGGAGCTGGAAGGATGGTAGTGGCCAGTAGAGTTAATAGCTGGAAGGATGGTAGAGGCCAGTAGAGTTAGGAGCTGGAAGGATGGTAGAGGCCAGTAGAGTTAATAGCTGGAAGGATGGTAGAGGCCAGTAGAGTTAGGAGCTGGAAGGATGGTAGAAGCCAGTAGAGTTAGGAGCTGGAAGGATGGTAGAGGCCAGTAGAGTTAGGAGCTGGAAGGATGGTAGTGGCCAGTAGAGTTAATAGCTGGAAGGATGGTAGAAGCCAGTAGAGTTAATAGCTGGAAGGATGGTAGAGGCCAGTAGAGTTAGGAGCTGGAAGGATGGTAGAAGCCAGTAGAGTTAGGAGCTGGAAGGATGGTAGAGGCCAGTAGAGTTAGGAGCTGGAAGGATGGTAGAAGCCAGTAGAGTTAATAGCTGGAAGGATGGTAGAAGCCAGTAGAGTTAATAGCTGGAAGGATGGTAGAGGCCAGTAGAGTTAGGAGCTGGAAGGATGGTAGAAGCCAGTAGAGTTAGGAGCTGGAAGGATGGTAGAGGCCAGTAGAGTTAGGAGCTGGAAGGATGGTAGTGGCCAGTAGAGTTAATAGCTGGAAGGATGGTAGAGGCCAGTAGAGTTAGGAGCTGGAAGGATGGTAGTGGCCAGTAGAGTTAGGAGCTGGAAGGATGGTAGAGGCCAGTAGAGTTAGGAGCTGGAAGGATGGTAGTGGCCAGTAGAGTTAGGAGCTGAAAGGATGGTAGAAGCCAGTAGAGTTAGGAGCTGGAAGGATGGTAGAGGCAAGTAGAGTTAGGAGCTGGAAGGATGGTAGTGGCCAGTAGAGTTAGGAGCTGGAAGGATGGTAGAGGCAAGTAGAGTTAGGAGCTGGAAGGATGGTAGAGGCCAGTAGAGTTAATAGCTGGAAGGATGGTAGAGGCCAGTAGAGTTAGGAGCTGGAAGGATGGTAGAGGCCAGTAGAGTTAGGAGCTGGAAGGATGGTAGAGGCAAGTAGAGTTAGGAGCTGGAAGGATGGTAGTGGCCAGTAGAGTTAGGAGCTGGAAGGATGGTAGAGGCCAGTAGAGTTAGGAGCTGGAAGGATGGTAGAGGCCAGTAGAGTTAGGAGCTGGAAGGATGGTAGAGGCCAGTAGAGTTAGGAGCTGGAAGGATGGTAGTGGCCAGTAGAGTTAGGAGCTGGAAGGATGGTAGTGGCCAGTAGAGTTAGGAGCTGGAAGGATCTTAGATGCCGGTAGAGTTAGGAGCTGGATATTTGAAATAGTGCCTTTAGTAAATAAACTTGTCTAGAATTGAACTTGGAGCTTTTTCAGTTGCAATTTCACTTGGCAGAATCTATCGGGATCCTCACTAAAAGGTAACATCCCCCCATACAAATGTACAAACAGCCTTCCAATTTCTTCTCTATGTTCATCATTTCCCAAAACTTGAGGTATGTTCCCAAAACTTGAGGCATGTTCCCAAACTTAAAATGTTCCCAAAACTTGAGGCATGTTCCCAAAACTTGAGGCATGTTCCCAAAACTTGAGGCATGTTCCCAAACTTAAAATGTTCCCAAAACTTGAGGCATGTTCCCAAAACTTGAGGCATGTTCCCAAAACTTGATTTATCTTCCCAAAGGCCGGTCAACGGTACGAGAAATTTGAGAACCCCTGGTGGGGATTCCCCTTTCAAAGTTCATTTCACATTGCACGCTCTATTTGGGGGGGGGGGGGGGCGCTGACAGTGTTGCATCATCAACACCAAATGAATGTAAACAAATCTTTTTTTTCGTGTGTGTGTGCGCGTGCGTGCATGTTTGTGTGTGTGTTTGTGTTTTTGTTTTTGTTTGTAAGTTCCTAACCGACCTAAAGTGCGCTTGATTGTTTTTAACCTATTTTAAAAATAACCTCACGGATGACTTGTCTTCTATGTTGTTGACAAAATTAAAATCGCCGAACCACAACCCCCCCTCTCCCCCAGAATCACCCCCCCCCCCCCCCCTCCCGTCCCCCTAATCCCCACATGCAAATCAGCCAGTGTCTGTCAAGCAGTGATCTGACTTCAACAATAAACTTTCAAACGAACAGCGCAGTCGGCGCAGTGACATCTGACCTTTGACCCTGCTTATCGCGTCTGTCGGGTCCACGCAGCAGACGACTCAGTTGTTTCATGCACACAGACGGGACGTGTTCTACATACAATGGGTAGGTCACTTTGTTTATCTGTGTGTGTGTTTGTGTGTAAGTGACCAGCGCATTCGGCACAATACTAATACTAGTTATCAAAGTTATTGTCTAAAGCGTTGCTGGAATAATTTGTAAAGAAAAGATAGCCAAGGCTAGCAAGATTGTTTAAAGTTTTAGGTCAGTTAACGTAACATAGCCAGGTCTAGTGTTAGACTGCTTCTGTTTAGTTAGGCATTGTTTAGCTAAGTGAAAGTTGATCTAAAATCTAGTGCTTTGTGTTGAGGCTCATTATAGTAGTTTTTAAAAGTCAAAATTTTTTCAGTTTGTTTGCACTGGTAAGCCTATACTTATTAAAAAACTCGTTTTTATTTTTATTTTTTAAATCGCACACATCTTCACATGGCACCGTGTAAAAAAAAAAACGAACAACAACTAACTTAATCTCCTGCAGATAATTAGTGTTAAAGGTCATGCGTGGTACAGGGGCGATCACTGCGATTTTGTTGACATTTTATGGCGGCTAAAATATATCTGCGTCACGTCACACACTAATTATTCACAATCTAAAACATCACATTATCACAAACTACAACTTTATTCACAATCTAAGTCAGGGCTCCAGAACTAGAGGGAAGGTCAGGGCTCCAGAACTAGAGGGAAGGTCAGGGCGCCAGAACTAGACCATAAACTATCAACAGTGTAATGATGGGAACCATCAAGGGGGTAGCAGGCCGTTATTAGGGTGCACAAAATCCGAATTTTTTTTTTTTTTTTTGCACCTTGATAAGCTAGTAGTTTTGTAAAAAAATAAACAAAATGAAATACAGCATAAGAATGAGTTTTAGAACACGGGAAACTCACATATTATCAGGTTTCTGTGTTTCGTATACATTTGACCGACTTGCCAGATATGAAAGTTATCTTCACAATTTTCGGCGGACGTACGTAAAAGAGAAAAAAATAAAATAAATGACATTAATACGTTTTATTTATAAGTTCAGGTTAGAAGTGAGTTGGCCTAGTTCTGTGTGGATTTTTGTCTCATAATAGACATACGTTGCATTGAAACAGGTTAATTTACTAAATTAGGAAGTAGTTTAATTATATATATATATATATATATATATATATATATATATATATATATATATATATATATATATATATATATATATATATATATATATATATAGCGGGGGGGGGGGGCTGAGTTCGAAAAAAATGTGCGGGGGCGGGGGGCTTTTTTACATTCGCGCCACTATTATTTTGATGGCATTAATTAATGAGTTCACTGTCTTAAGCAGGTATCTGACAAAGTGTTAATACTTTGAACATGTACAACAAATAGTTAAAGCAAAATAAACAGGTCAATACTTATTATTCTAGCTGAGATGGAGGATTACTGCACCACTAACTACACACAAAAACTAATGAGTTTGAGTTAAAAATAACTATTGCCATACCTGGTTCGATCTTGCTCCATCAACACCTGTCAGAAACACGCACAGCATCGTATCTACTGTTGTTTATATCTGTACCTGTTGCATCATATTCAGGGAGGGAGGGGGATTTGTAGTTTCTTTAGTTGCATCATTTTCATGTATAAATATTTTCACCTCTATCTAGTTTCGTCAGAATGTCTGAAGTGATGTAAGCATAATTTAGAGTTGCGCTACTTTAAGGATGTAATATTTAGCTCCCCTGGGGCAATTTAATGACTAAGTGGCAAGGACGGGGGACTTAGGGTGGGGGTGGGGGTGAAAAAGGGATAGTGTCCAGATAAGTCCCGCCAAAAAATTAACCCAAGCTAAAAAGTTAACCCCCACCAAAAGTTAACCCCCACCAAAAGTTAACCCCCACCAAATTAAACCCCCGAAACCCAAAAACATTGTAAATAAACCGGGATGATCTCCCCTAAACTTTTTCAAATATTCTTATACGAAACAACAGGGGGTTGCAACTCGGGCTATAGACATGATTTTAAATCCATTTTAAATACTTAAACTTTTTAAAATAGAATAAAATCTCGTAGAAAAAAGAATTGCACACCAAGTGAACGCCAAATAAAATGTGCATAATAGTGCGGAATATTATTAGTACTTTATAAATTTACATGCGTTTTTTGAGAAATCGGAGCCAGATAGAATGTTGATCCCATCAAGTGTGAGAGGTGACCCGGCACAGTTTGAGAACCTCAGCCATATGATTTCCCTCTCGCCCTGAGCATACCGTGTCGATCAAAACTGCAGATCTGCCAATACAAATGGCGGCTTGAAGGACGGGGAACAGGATACTGCATGGCGGATGTAATGTAGACATGCTTGACTACACACGGCAAAACAAACGTCAAAACACGGCAGTGTGCACGGCCTTGGTGCACTGTCTTGATGCTCTTTCTTGGTGCACGACCTTGGTGCACTGTCTTGATGAACTTTCTTGGGGCACCGTCTCAGTGCACTGTCCTGATGAACTTTCTTGGGGCACCGTCTCAGTGCAAATCCGAATAAAGTACCCTTGCCAAAATTGTTTTCCCAAATGCAGAATTTTTAGAAAGTGACATGTCATTTAGACGGTGTCATCTTAGAAAGTGACATGTCATTTAGACGGTGTCATCTTAGAAAGTGACATGTCATTTAGACGGTGTCATGTTATAAAGTGACATGTCATTTAGACGGTGTCATCTTAGAAAGTGACATGTCATTTAGACGGTGTCATCTTAGAAAGTGACATGTCATTTAGACGGTGTCATCTTAGAAAGTGACATGTCATTTAGACGGTGTCATGTTATAAAGTGACATGTCATTTAGACGGTGTCATCTTAGAAAGTGACATGTCATTTAGACGGTGTCATGTTAGACAGTGTCATCTCGTACCCTGTCATCTCATAAAGTGTCACCTTAATTTATATTGTATCAGGTCCAAACCCATGCTACCTCATCCAAAGCTTTAGCCCCCCACCCCCCCCCCCCCATCCATCTGTCTCAAGTGATAACTATGGCAGCAGTGCCTTCTATACACACATTCTCCCCTATCCCATGTATTGCCTATATCAATAGATACAAAACCAGATGTCATACCCACATAACCCACAAACAGCAGCACCTAAAGAACAAGTGTGTAGATTACCTTCCGTGTTGCGTGAACTTTACACACCCACACACAGCAGCACCTAAAAACAAGTGTGTAGATTACCTTCCGTGTTGCGTGAACTTTACACACCCACACACAGCAGCACCTAAAGAACAAGTGTGTAGATTACCTTCCGTGTTGCGTGAACTTCACATACCCACACTTCTCTACTTGAGATACGAACACATTTTGTACAAGTTTTTATTTCAGCACACGGCCCTTTTGTTGGGAGCCCTTTTGTAGGGAGCCCTTTTGTTGGGAGCCGGGTTTGATAGCCTGCGTTCTACCCACTGATCTCTGACATTTGTGAACTGTGGTAAATGGAAGGCGCGCCGTTTAGTGCTTTAATTACTGGAATGGAACAGTTTGTATGCGTGCGTGTGTGTTTTTGTGTGTAAATATGTGTTTGTCATGCATACGGTGTGTGGTTAAATACAAATTGCACGAAACGTGTGTTTTTATATTTGCTTCGATTTTAATGTAACAGTCTGCTTATATTTGCCTGTTTTTACCACTTGTTAAGATTGCACGTTTGACCACTTCTTTAGATTGTCTGTTTTGACCACTTGTTTTGACCACTTGTTTAAGAGCCAGCCATCTCTAGGACATAATATACCAGTACCTGGAGTCTCTTAACGCTTCTGTTAATTTGTCTGTCATATTAAGATCTCACCATGACAACAGCCGTCAACAGACTTGACATAACATTGAAACCTTAGCATGTTTGACACACTGGTGTATGTGTTATGTAACAGTAGACTTGACATAACATTCAGACATTGTGTGACACTGGTGTATGTGTATGTAACAGCAGACTTGACATAACATTCAGACATTGTGTGACACTGGTGTATGTGTTATGTAACAGCAGACTTGACATAACATTCAGACATTGTGTGACACTGGTGTATGTGTTATGTAACAGCAGACTTGACATAACATTCAGACATTGTGTGACACTGGTGTATGTGTTATGTAACAGCAGACTTGACATAACATTCAGACATTGTGTGACACTGGTGTATGTGTTATGTAACAGCAGACTTGACATAACATTCAGACATTGTGTGACACTGGTGTATGTGTTATGTAACAGCAGACTTGACATAACATTCAGACATTGTGTGACACTGGTGTATGTGTTATGTAACAGCAGACTTGACATAACATTCAGACATTGTGTGACACTGGTGTATGTGTTATGTAACAGCAGACTTGACATAACATTCAGACATTGTGTGACACTGGTGTATGTGTTATGTAACAGCAGACTTGACATAACATTCAGACATTGTGTGACACTGGTGTATGTGTTATGTAACAGCAGACTTGACATAACATTCAGACATTGTGTGACACTGGTGTATGTGTTATGTAACAGCAGACTTGACATAACATTCAGACATTGTGTGACACTGGTGTATGTGTTATGTAACAGCAGACTTGACATAACATTCAGACATTGTGTGACACTGGTGTATGTGTTATGTAACAGCAGACTTGACATAACATTCAGACATTGTGTGACACTGGTGTATGTGTTATGTAACAGCAGACTTGACATAACATTCAGACATTGTGTGACACTGGTGTATGTGTTATGTAACAGCAGACTTGACATAACATTCAGACATTGTGTGACACACTGGTGTATGTGTTATGTAACAGCAGACTTGACATAACATTCAGACATTGTGTGACACACTGGTGTATGTGTTATGTAACAGCAGACTTGACATAACATTGAGACATTGTGTGACACACTGGTGTATGTGTTATGTAACAGCAGACTTGACATAACATTCAGACATTGTGTGACACACTGGTGTATGTGTTATGTAACAGCAGACTTGACATAACATTCAGACATTGTGTGACACACTGGTGTATGTGTTATGTAACAGCAGACTTGACATAACATTCAGACATTGTGTGACACACTGGTGTATGTGTTATGTAACAGCAGACTTGACATAACATTCAGACATTGTGTGACACACTGGTGTATGTGTTATGTAACAGCAGACTTGACATAACATTCAGACATTGTGTGACACACTGGTGTATGTGTTATGTAACAGCAGACTTGACATAACATTCAGACATTGTGTGACACACTGGTGTATGTGTTATGTAACAGCAGACTTGACATAACATTCAGACATTGTGTGACACACTGGTGTATGTGTTATGTAACAGCAGACTTGACATAACATTGAAACCTTAGCATGTTTGTCTAGGCTGTGCACACACCGGTGTATGTGTTATGTAACAGCTCCTCGCCTCCCAAGAACCAAACTGTTCCAACTCCAACTTTCCCCTTTTGTGAGATACACACCATTGTGTTTAAATCCATTAAGACATCGCGCTTAAAAAAAAATCGTGGCGATCTCGTTTACTCAGCTATCACTTTTCACTAAAACATAATACAAAAACCTTCTAGCTTTGTTGTGAATATTTTTCAAAGATGGAGTTAAGACAGCCTCGTTTTGGGGGAGCTATTGATAGATTTGGTATGACAGGTCAGGATAAAAGCAGGTATAGGCCGACTGTTGCAGTACATTTAGTTTTAGTGCCAGTAATAATTAGACCTTGGTAAATTAGACTGTTAAATTAGGTGGTGGTAAATTAGACTGGTAAATTAGATTGTGTTAATTAGATAGTAGTAAATTGTTTGCTTTCTTCATCAAGCATTTACTATAAAAGCACTGACTATATCAAACAATCAAGTATTTATTCATTGCGTGCATTAATTGGCCTATTAATTAAGATCGTTAACCAATTAGTTGGGCGTTGGTATTCGCGTCGAGTGAGTATATGTATGTAAACAACGGCTGAACTGGGTGATTAGTACAACCTTAGACCGCGTGAAACGTGTGCTATAATTAGCCACCAGACAAAACGGAGTTATGGAAATGTGATTATTTGTACTCTAAGACTTTAAGGTCCCAAAATTGTGGATGATTTTTATCTTCATACCATCCCCATCGTAACACATTATCAGGAAAAGCCAGACCCTCCCTCCCCCCTTTCCAACCGTAAGGTGACGTCACACCTCAGTCTACAACCCCACTCGAAATTGCAAATTTATTTTTTTTAAAGATTTCTTTCTAAAATATTATCTTTACTTTATCAGCGGTAAGTATATTAATCAATTCACTTTACAATTTACAACAAAAAAGCCTTTAAAAACACAAAATAGCGGCAACATTTCAGTTTCTAACATTACCTTTTATAATGGGAAAGTGTGTCGTCACACTTTCTGACCCCCTCCCCCCCACGGTCTACCCCCCACCCGTTCTCCTCGTTACACATCGTCGCAATATTCCGACCTCCCTCCTCCTCCCCTCCCAATCAGAGTACGACGTATATGGCATGGACTACCACTATTGGTAAAAGCAAACCAACAATTCATTCAGTCGTCTCCCCGTTTCTTCCCTAGTAACCGCGTCTATGGTTACCATGTTTCAGCCAGTCAGCAGGAGAGAAGGTCACATGACCACAGCTACCAACTGGAACATGGTGGTGGACGTTTCAATACTTTTTTATTTCATACTCGTCGTCCCTTAAGTGCATTGTGTACCAAGACCGGAAGTTAAGTTTTAAAATATAAATCTATTTCAGGAATTTTGATGTAATTATCGTGACCACTACTTTAGTTCCATAAAATACCGCGGATTAATTTTTTTTTTTTACTAAACATCAAAGTATGTCTGTGGAAATCAGTGAGCATATCGGTAACTGTTTTTATCAAATAAAAAAATAAACAAATGAACGTGGGGCCAGTGACGCACATAATGTGTACGGACCTACCGATTAGATGAGGCCTCGCTCGATGATTGGTTCCACGGTCAATGGTGCATGACTGCTCGTGGCTGATTAACACCTTTCTGACCTTCATCTTACTAACCTTCATCTTACTGACCTTCATCTTACTGACCTTCATCTTGCATGACCTTCATCTTGCATGACCTTCATCTTGCTGACCTTCATCTTGCTGACCTTCGTCTTGCTGGCCTTCATCTTGCTGACCTTCATCTTGCTGACCTTCACCTTACTCCTCACGATTGATCGTGTGAGGTACAAACATATTCCGCTGGATCGAACCCACGGTAGACTTTGATTAGTCTAGTCAGTAGCAGCTACTACTTATTACAACAACTAGCATACTTATGGTGCAACAACTAGCATACATATAGTGCAACAAATAGCATACTTATAGTGCTGCGACTAGCATACTTAGAGTGCAACAAATAGCATACTTATAGTGCTGCAACTAGCATACTTATAGTGCAACAAATAGCATACTTATAGTGCAACAACTAGCATACTAACAATGGGGCAAGTGGCGTCCTGTAGTGGTGACAACATTTCGACTCTTGACTCGCAACAGGCTCGTCCTCAATCAAACGGAACTAGCTCTACAAGTAAGAAGTGATTCTCTTTCTATCACAGTTTTAGATCACAGGACAGACACATATCATATGCCAGACACCACATGGCATATGACAGACACCGCATATAGTAAGACAGGTATTTTAGGTGATAGGACGTCTACTTAAAATGTGTCTTTTAAGACGTTTCCCAAACGCTAAGTTGAACCCAATTCTATTCAACGCTGCTGAAAGATTCTAATGAAGACTCTATTGACGTCTCCACAACTCCGACGTGACGCAGACACGACGCCGACGTGACGCCACTACCTACTTCCCTTGTCAACTGTTCATACACGAGGCTTACTTTTCAAATACAATTAATTTTAATTAATTTGACTGGGTTTTTAATTAACTCCTGATAGAGCGTTACTGGCATCCAAAGAACAAAAGGAAGTCAAATAAAGAGATTAATTAATTAGTGGAAACTTAAATTTAATCGAACTCACTGAACGAACATGGTCCAACTTGATAAGGAGAAAAGGCGACTAGATTCTAGAGAAGATCTAGATATTAGTTTGGCTAGAACTAGAAGATCAGACCAGGCTATCTCTTCGGGAGGGGGTGAGAGGGGAACTGCCCCCTCCCCCACCCGGAGCACGTCCATCGCCCTACCCCCCCCCCCCCCCCCCCGGAGTAAAACACTGGATGAAACTGACGTTACATAGCTCGTGGAAGCGTAGATCCTACTGGTAAACCCACAAGAAACGGGGGGGGGGGGGGGTAGAACACTGACACAACTAGACTGGCTAACGCTCTAGCCAGAGACAATCACATATTTTAACCGATGCACCTTGCTGTACTTGGAGCATAGAACACAATACTCCAACTATACTGAATCTGTTGATGTAGGCAAAGAAACGGTTTAGTCCAGGGGTCTGCAACCTGCGGCTCGCGAGCCGCATGCGGCTCTTTTGATATCAAGATGCGGCTCTCCAGCTCCTTGAACCAATACTAATAATCTTAATAAAAAAATAAAATATTTGAAATAAAAAAATGTTAGTGGCTCTTTAAAACCAGGGAAATTTTGAAAATTGTAACTTTTGGCTCTTCCGCTTCAAAAGGTTGCCGACCCCTGGTTTAGTCCCATCTATTCACATTCATCATTTCTCTAACCCAGTTTCTCTAGCTTGTAGTCAGCAAACCACAACATTACATGAAGGGTAAAGGTTGGCTACCATATCGTTGAGGCGTAGAGCTGCAAATAACTGCTACACGAAATGGGGGGGGGGGGGGGGGGGGGCGACACACAACTTTTCTTCTTTGTTCAATTTAGTGTTGAATTCTAATTCAAATAAATAATTAGAATATTGGCATCAAACACAACTTAAACAAGAACATTTTTTCCTCTTGCCCAGATAAATGTGGGTCTAATATAAATAATTATCTCAAATTAAAAATAAATTGTCTAATGATAGGCTTGAGGTTTGCATTTAGTTCAATGGTGCCAATAATCCTTTATCTCCTGCCTGCCACACAAATTAATTCATTAGTCAAATTGTGGGGGAGGCCGCTTATACGAGCAGACTATAGTCTACTTGTAAGACCCAGAGATTCCCACTGGAGGGGGGAGGGGGGGAGCAACACAATAGGCCGTTTGCAGCTGATGAAATTGATAATTGCGCTCTTTTCACTGCGTACAAGAAAGTAGTTTTACAATGGAGGCGAGCGAGTTGACGAGATTCCTTCCATAATGTTGTTGTCATGGAATAAAAACGTGTTTTTTTAGATTTAGACCGTAAAAAAAAATAAAAAATAAAAACTTAAGCCTAAAATTAATTTAGAAATTTTATATTCTTAGAATAAATGCTATAAAAGTTGCAAATCCAGAGAACTTGAAAATAATTTGTTGAGTTTAAGGCTACATTTCTATTTATTTTCATCAAGCCTAAGTTATAACCGGATGTTTCACTTTCGTAAGACAAATATTGATTGGCTGTACAGTAACTTAGTGATCGATAACTATTTGTTTACAAACTTTGCAGATCAAGTTTTTAAATAGCAATGCAAATTTAAAACCCCATGACCTAGTTTTCTATTTTTAGCTTACAATGTGTACAATAAAATCTATGGCAGCCTATCCAATAGCAGGATGCCATGTTTATGTCGCCATTACACGTGAAAACCAAATTGTTTTTGCTTTTTTTTAAATTTTTATTTAGTTACCGAAAATATTATAAACATCAAATACATCCAATCTTTAGTAAAGTCCGAAAAAAACCAGACAGGCAGGATTTTATAACCATATTAATTGTAACTACGCCGTGCCTGATTTTTAAACTAATTTATACACCTCTCAAATACCTTTGAGAGTTTTCTCGCTCGTGTCCATTGGAGAAGAAAGCTTAAACACGTCCATTAAAACTCTACGTGCCCATATAAACTTAAACTTCCATAGCTCAAATAAAAAGTTTAGGAATAGCCTCGAAATGGTGGATACAATATTTTAAAATTTGGTGCCATGATATTAAAATAAATATGGTTATAAAAATCTGACTGTTTGATTTTTACGGACTTTACCTAAGATTGGATGTATTTGATGTTTTAGTATTTCCTGTAACTAAACACATTTTTAAAAAAGGAAAATCAATTTGATTGTTTTTTATCACACAAGATGACAATAATCAAAACTGAAATAATTGGTCATGTGATTTTTTTTTTAAATAATTTTATTCAAACATATCGGCAAAGTTTTGAGTTTACGATTAGTTGTTTTTTTTTTCATAAAGAATATCGATCACAGAGTTTCTGTAGAAACAATCGATGTTTGTTTTACGAAAGTAAAACTTCAGGTCAGAGGCGTAGGGCGGGGGGTGCGGACCGCACCGGGTGACACCATTTAGGAGGGTGACACCAAGGCAAAAAATAGCAAAATATATAGAGAAAAATTTGAGGGGAGGGGGTGCAAATCGAAAGTTTGAGGGGGGGGGGGAGTGCAAATCTAAAGTTTGAGGTGGGTGCAAATGGAAAGTTTGAGGGGGGGGGGTGACACCCGACCTCGCTACGCCAATGCTTCAGATTATAACTTAGGCTTGATGAAAATAAATAAAAATGTTGCCTTAATTAAACTCAAAATTTTTTTTTCAAGTTCTCTGGATTTGCAACTTTTAAAACATTCTAAAAAATATTAAACTTCTGAATTATTTTCAGGCTACGACTTACTCTGATGGCAAAAGCTAAAAAACAAAAATGTCACCAATAATGGTCGAACCCATCACCTCAAACTAGGCTGCTCTGTGGTCTTTGTAATATGTTGTTGAAATGTGGCAAATCTCAGACTATATTTTTTTGCGATCATAAATCAGCCTCCTAATATTTTCCCGCCACTTTTCTTGACTGACGTCTGCTGTGTTTCAGCTGAGCGACTCAGCGCCCTGAAGACCGCCATCAAACCATGCCACAGAGGGGGGCCGGGCTACAAGACCCCTCTGGACGCCATGAAGCACGGACCCAGGGAGAAGCTCGTTTACCTGCCCTGCATCCAGCCGCCACACCTGAAGAAGGTCAAGCCAGATTACCTGGCCACAGTGGACATTGACCCCGAATCACCCACCTTCTGTAAGGTAAATATGACTCCAAACACCACATTGTAAAGGTAGGTATGACCCTATCACACACCTATGTCAGGTAAATATGACCGAGACCTCCACCCAAAACCAGCTGACTCCATCCCCCCCCCCTAGTCCTAAAATGTTGTATAACACTAACCTAAAACCAGCTGACTCCACCTCCCCCCCCCCCCCAGTCCTAAAATGTATAACACTAACCCAAAACCAGCTGACTCCACTCCCCCCCCCTATTCTTGAAATGCCGTATAACACTGACCTAAAACCAGCTGACTCCACCCCTAACGACGCTCTCACCTGTTAAACCACCAGGTGATCCACCGCCTGATGATGCCTTACCTGGAAGACGAACTTCACCATTCAGGCTGGAACACCTGCTCCAGTTGCCATGACGACTGCTCAAAGTCACGTGACAAGCTGGTCTTGCCGGCCCTGAACAGCGACAGGATTTACATCATCGACGTCTCCAACTGTAGAGAGCCCAAGTTCCACAAGGTAGGGGGGGGCTGTAGAAGGGCCAAGTTCCACAAGGTAGGGGGGGGGGGGCTGTAGAGAGCCCAGGTTCCACAAGGTAGGGGGGGGGGGGCTGTAGAGAGCCCAGGTTCCACAAGGTAGGGGGGGGGCTGTAGAGAGCCCAAGTTCCACAAGGTAGGGGGGGGGCTGTAGAGAGGTCAAGTTCCACAAGGTAGGGGGGGGGTGTAGAGAGGCCAAGTTCCACAAGGTAGGGGGGGGGAGAGCCCAGGTTCCACAAGGTAGGGGGGGGGGCTGTAGAGAGCCCAAGTTCCACAAGGTAGGGGGGGGCTGTAGAGGGGCCAAGTTCCACGAGGTAGGGGGGGGCTGTAGAGAGCACAAGGTAGGGGGGGGGGGGGGCTGTAGAGAGCCCAAGTTCCACAAGGTAGGGGGGCTGTAGAGAGGTCAAGTTCCACGAGGTAGGGGGGGGGGCTGTAGAGAGCCCAAGTTCCACAAGGTAGGGGGGGGGGGAACTGGGCCTAGCTATGGAGGAGTGGGGGGGGGGAGTACCCTGGTCCTATCCATGGTGGGTGGGGGTACCCTGGGCTTACTCATGGTGGGTGGGGGTACCCTGTGCTTACTCATGGTGGGTGGGGGTACCCTGGGCTTACTCATGGTGGGTGGGGGCACCCTGGGCCTACTCATGGTGGGTGGGGGTACCCTGGGTCTACTCATTGTGTGTGGGGAGGGTACCCTTGTCCTATTCATGGTGGGGAGGGGTGCTAGTGAGGCGTGTTCTACTTTAAGAATACACTTGTGTGACGCTGTAGGAGATGGAGTGAGGGTTTCGTCTGCTAAAGCTCGCCCAGCTGTCGTGGCTACATGCCTGGAGTGGAAGTGTTGGTGAACTCAGTGATAAACTCTACTGTGTCTACAGTGCTTGATATCCAAGGGGGGGGGTAGTTGACCCAGCTGTCGTGGCTACATGCTGGAAGAGTTGGTGAACTCATTGATAAACTCTACTGTGTCTACAGTCGTTGATATCCCAGGGGGTAGTTGTCCTATATCTTGTGGTTACAGATAGTGGAGCCTGTTGATGTGCACAAGATGACTGGCCTTGGTGCCCCACATACGTCACACTGCCTGGCCAGCGGGGAGATCATGATCAGCTGTATCGGGGACAAAGAGGGAAGTAACTCGAAAAGTAAGCTCAACTCTAAGAGCACGGTTATCTTTCTTTAAACATAGTATTGGTGATCAGTTTCTTATTTCAAGACATTTGTAAAGTAATTTTTTTAAATTCATCAGTTGAAATTTAACTGAATAGTTCTATTTGGTGAAAAGTATATCCAATATATGTAAATACACCTAAAAATCTCAACATTTTAAAAACCTACTACCTGTCACAAATAGTTAAATAATGTTGAAATATTTGTCATCCAATCAAATACAATAATAAATTATGGTTTTGGCTACAAGGTTATGTAGTGCCTGTATGTATATTAGTTTAAAAAAAAACATACAATGTTGCTCAACTAAAACTTTAGGTGGTTTTATCCTGCTTGATGGGGAAGACTTCAGTATAAAAGAGAACTGGGAGAAAAGTCTGATCACCATGGGATATGATTTCTGGTACCAGCCCAGACACAACGTGATGGTCAGCACAGAGTGGGGCGCCCCACGGGCATGGAGGAATGGCTTTAAACCAGAGGAGTATAAATCAGGTGAAGCCCCACCTTTCTCCACACTCATACATATATATATATTTGTATATAAATATATTTGTATATAGGCCTATATTTGTGTATATCTTTTTGTATATATTTATTTGTGTGTATATATATGTGTGTATATATGTCTATATAGGCTATAGGGCTGGTAAGTAGGTCACCAACTAGTTCTATGGCTCATGCAGGTTTTATTTAGCCATATAACTGGTTGGTGACCTACTTACCAGCCCTATATATGTGTATAAATGTGTGTATATGTATGTATACATATATATATATATATATATATATATATATATATATATATATATATATATATATAAAATCTAGTATGAGTTTACTAGTCTTTCTGTCTGTCCACCAGGTCTGTATGGCCACAGCATCCATGTCTGGGACTGGACGACACACAAGAAGCTCCAGACCCTTGACCTAGGGGACGAGGGGGCCATTCCGCTAGAAGTTCGTTTTCTGCATGATCCAGATGCCACCATGGGCTATGTGGGCTGTGCCCTGGGCTCGTCTGTCTTCAGGTTCTTCAAAACTCCTGTAGGTTTTTCTGGTGTTGGGATGTAGGTTTTTCTGGTCTTGGGATGTAGGTTTATCTGGTCTTGGGATGTAGGTTTTTCTGGTCTTGGGATGTAGGTTTTTAGAAGCTAGTGTAGGCTGTAGATGTAGACCTTTGTAGGTTGGTGTATTAGATTTTTGTAAGTCATGAGTATTACATATGATCCATATAACTATTTATAACACTAAATGAATCACTAACCCATATCAATTTAAACAATATTGTTTTAAATCCAACTAAATTATTGAAATTTTACTGGACGTAATACATAATGTATACCTGTCTTTCCAAAGATAATGTTTGGAGTTACTATCAAAGTTTAATAAAACCAAGTTACTGACACAGTTAGCTAAATGTTTTTTTATTGCTCTCCCAGAAAGGAGATTGGGAAGCTGAAAAAGTAATTCAAATTCCTCCAAAAAAAGTGACAGGATGGGCACTTCCTGACATGCCAGGTAAATTGGTTGCCAATATGTGCAAGTTTTACAACAAACTGTAAGTAGAAATAAAAAATAAACACTTTTTAAAAATTGCTGACCTTTACAATAAGTCAATTATAAACAATTAATTATTATTTAAATAATTTTAAACAAATAGTGAAATAATTAGCGCAATTTCCATACAGACAATTGCGATTATTAACTCGTCATTTCTGGATGGATGTGTGTCCCCAGCTTTAAGTCGTATCTCCTCCTCAACGAAGCAATATCGAGGACTAGTTCCAAAGCAAATATGTTAAGCAAGTTCCAAGGATGATTGTGGGCCAAAAAAATTCCCGGAATTCCTTCCTGGATTTCCCGGAAAAGCCAAAAAACCTCGAACAAATGCAGTTTTTGGTCCATATCTCGGCAACCAGACGACTTAGCGACTTGAAACATTTACCAATCGATTCCTGCCATAATTTAGACCTATATTGCCGAAGAAAGTTTTCAAAAATATCCTTTCGTTCTGTCACAAAAAATTAATTAAGAACATTTAAACTGAGCATCGTGTAGGCCTAGGATGATATTTACTACTTTTTTAAACTGAGCATCTTTAGGCCTACTCGTTAAAATAAAACTATTTCCGTTGATATAGGTTAATATAGTTGTCTTTTTTTTACTTATTAATTCAAACGTTATTTTTGTAAAGGAAATTGCGCTTTAATTGTCACTAGACTTTTTATTAACTTGTTTTTTATTTAGTCAGAACAAGACAAAATTCTGTTTTTGTGTTGACTTTAAAAAAAATTGATAAGTAGTTTTTCCCTTCCATAGGTCTAATAACAGATATTGTGATATCATTAGTTTTGTTCCCTTCCATAGGTCTAATAACAGATATTGTGATATCATTAGTTTTGTTCCCTTCCATAGGTCTAATAACAGATATTGTGATATCATTAGTTTTGTTCCCTTCCATAGGTCTTATAACAGATATTGTGATATCGTTGGATGACAGATTTCTGTACTTCAGTAACTGGTTACATGGAGACATGAGACAGTACGATATTACAGACAAAAGGAAGCCAAAGCTGGTTGGACAAGTAAGAAAAATCTGGCCAGTTTTTTTATTTTCAAAAATAATTATTGCCGTTAAAAACTGTCACTGATTTGAAAGATTGGCTGAAATAGATTTTATACACTGTTTGAACATATCTGCAATATAGAGGTCAGGGTTCATGTAGGGTTTTTGAAAACTTTTTAGTTAATAATTTTTTAGTGATTTGAGAATGTTTCTGGCACCATGTCAGGTATTCATTGGTGGAAGCATCCAATCAGACGGTCCAGTCAAGGTCACTAGAGATGAGGAGAGGGATGTAAGTTAAAAAATGTTTCAGTCAACTTAGCCATAATTAGCCAAAAACAAATTTATTTAAAATTATCAAAATCTGCACTATTGTATGGCTTAAAATTAAAACAAGAAAAAATATGGATACAAATACATTTAGAACATTATAAACAAGAAAATAATATAATAATTTTTTTTGTTTATAATTATATTTTTAGAAATATGGGAAAAACAAATAAACTTGAAAGGAATTGATTTCCATTCAATTAACCTTATATCTAGAAGTTAACAGTTAAAAACAGACTGACGCAGTAAAATGTGTTTCAAAACTCTGTTAGTCACAGCCAGACCCAGTCTACATAAATGGAAAGCGCCTGGAGGGGGCGCCACAAATGCTGCAGCTGAGCTTAGATGGCAAACGTATTTATGTGACCAACTCTTTGTTCTCCGCATGGGACCAGCAGTTCTACCCTGAAATCTGCAAGTAAGAACATAGCCGCCAGTTGTGTGACAATTTACCTGCCTAGTATCCACATCAATATAGACCTATTAAATTAAGTTTTATATTACCACCTACTCCCTACAAGTTTTTCTGTTTCTCTTTACTTTACATCACTCCTAATTAATTATTATTTAATTAAAATTTAGTATGTGTTGTGTCTCAATTCTACTTTGAAAATGTGTTACTGTTATTAGTAACATTTTAATTTTTAAATATTTAGCTTTAAAAGCTTTTGTTACCGTTTATAATTAATAAAACTAATTATTCACTTTTAATCAATGCAGTCCCTACTTTCATTTTTCAGGAAAGGTGGATGGATGGTTCAAATTGATGTGGATACTGTGAAAGGGGGCTTAACTCTCAATGACAAATTTCTGGTGGACTTTGGTGATGAGCCCTTTGGACCAGTTATGGGCCATGAAATCAGATACCCTGGTGGTGATTGTACTTCTGACATTTGGATTTAGTATCTCAGTGTTGGGTGGTGATCTGACATTTGGATTTAGTATCTCAGTGTTGGGTGGTGACCTGACATTTGGATTTAGTATCTCAGTGTTGGGTGGTGACTTGACATTTGGATTTAGTATCTCAGTGTTGGGTGGTGACCTGACATTTGGATTTAGTATCTCAGTGTTGGGTGGTGACTTTACATTTGGATTTAGTATCTCAGTGTTGGGTGGTGACTTTACATTTGGATTTAGTATCTCAGTGTTGGGTGGTGACCTAACTTTGGCATTTTAAACCTGGCATTTGAATATTGTTAGCGCAAGGTACTTCTGAGATTCTTGTATCCTAATATGAACATTGTCTACCCACGGTTCCAGTGAGTTTAAAGAAGTACATCCTTGTCACATGCTTATGAAATAATAGGAAGAATCCTCAGGCATAACATGTTAAAAAAATGTGTATACTTTTTCTTTTTATAATGTAATATTGTAATAAAAAATATTATTGATTTATTTCTTGTCTTGTTATAAAAAGTTATTTCTAAAAAACCTATGTTTTACAAGACTTAAAAAAATTTCCAGTTGGGTTCTGCACATCTGATCACTTTTGTCTGACAACTGCTCCTGTGTCTACGCTAGACCATTTGACATGTTTCTTAAATTTATAATATACTTGTTTATGTTAATGTTTTTACAATGAACAAACAAATCAAAAAAATCATTTGGCTACATGGACAACTTCATGAGCTTTAATCATCAAACAAATTATTTGGCTAACTGTACAAGTTCTGCAACCTCAGCCTCCAACTATAATATATATTTAATCATTAAATTAAAAAAAAATTCCTTTCCGCTCTTCAAATATTTCTGTTGAACACCATCTGGACATAATCACTGATTTACGTAAAGAACGCTGTGATTGTGAATAAACATTCAAGAAAGGGTCAACTTGATGGAGTCAGTCAATGGGTATTTTTGATGAACTGTCCAAATGGGATTGTTTGGGTTAATAACTCCTGGTGACAGTTGAAAATTAGGTGGTGATGGCATCACACGAATTCTGGGAACAGTTTATACACTCCTCATTTTTTGCACCAGTAAAATATATACCTATGTTGGATTTTGAATCAAATTATATTTAATTTTTCTCATTAAGAAGGGTTTGGTGAATGCGCATATGAAACTGATGTAGTTCAGTGCCTCCAACAAGGTTAAGAACCACTGCCCTAGAATGACATGACAGTTACCCCGACCCTCACTCCTTTGACCCATTTTTTAAATTTCTCATTATAATTATGAAGTGTAGAGAATTGTTTGTAAATTTTATATAGGCCTATACAAGTATTTTATCAAATTTGTAGTTTTCTATTAACTTATGGGCGATTTCCCGGTTACTTCCTCTACATCTGGTTTCCTAAAAATACCATTAAAGTTAGATGGACGAAATTTCACATATAAATATTACATTGCATACATACTATAGTTTATATCAAATTTTGGACGTTTTCCGATAACCGTAAGTGGTACTTTCAATGGTTTCATTTAGGGGAGATCACTGCCGCTTTATTGCTTTAGTTTGAGCTCTTAAGGGGACATAATCAAACTTGTTTGATTTTGTCTGAAATATTGACGGGGTTATCTTGAATTACATAGGATATACAAAATAATCATCTCAAGCTGGCGTAGGAAGTGGAACTGGAAGGTGGGCGCCAAAACGGACGATTATATCTCTTCCCCATTGTCACAACCCACACCCCAATTATCTCTCCACGAAGAGTGCGCCGTTATTTATAAAGAAGCCCTTGACTTTGATACCTATTGTGAATGTAACAATACAAATAATTAGCCTACTGTCTTTTTATCTATTCTACTAATATACGCTTAGGCTATAACTATAAATTAGTATAAATTAGATTTAAATATTGACAAAAATGTACTAAGTCGCCGGATTCTAGACTAGATTATTGATTATATTTTAAAACTCCAAACTTTGACATTAGGCTATGTATATTATTTATTAGGCGTAGAGTTCTATTTATACAACTTTTAAAATATATTTAGGTCAAAAACAGGTTTTGTAAGTTATTTGACTGTTGCTTGTATACTAGTCTAGTTCTAGTCGGCCCAAAGTAAATAAACTAAATGCGTCTTTATTATAGTTGCATACCTTGAGTTGCGCGCGCACATGACAACAAACATGGAAGTCATCGTAAAATGCAGATGGACTTCTGCTAGCTGATTCCATTCATTTAGTTTTAGCAATAAGTCACTTATTAGCTTTGTTTATAAGTAATGGACTAAATTATGTGTATGCAACCTCTAATTATTTAAACAATTTGAATTTTAACGTTTCTTGTTGTCATTACGCATTAAGATTTAATTTCCTACTGCTTTACAAACTGCCAATCTGACTACAGAAAAAGTGTGAATGAATTCTATAATGAATGCAGAATGATGAGAATGATGTCAGATTGATTGAATGATGAACGCTCACTGAATCAGAATGAGAGTGAATTTATTATTCCATATTTTTTCTATTGCACGTTATCTAACGTACATCATTAGAAGAAGAATGCTGCCCATTTCAGAGCCTTTCTTACAGATCTAGATCTAGCTAACTAACTAGATCTACTAAGTTAACTAACTAGAGTCTAGTCTAGTTAGAATTTTTCATCTCCCTTGCCTTGACTTGATGAGTTGATGATGATTGACTTATTCATTAATTATTTATTATTGACTCTTCTTGGATTACTAGAATTCTAGATCTAGATTATTAAATGAATAGATTTTTAAATCTAGAATCAAGACTAGAATGTCACTAGTTTTTAGATCTAGATCTAGGTCCTAGAATATCTGATAATCTTCTGCCTGTTCTGAAATTTCCCAGCGCTGGTATTAAAGATAATTAAACTATTGTAGTATGCAGTATCAGAGTCATAATATGTAAATATGAGGTTTTAATTGTTCATTTTGAGTTGTGAGGATTAGTCCCTAAATTAAATCAATAGTGCCTACATCTAGGCCTGAAATGGATTTAGAACTTAGAATTTACTTCTATCTAAATTGAAAATTGGGATATCTGTTATGACTGTGTCACTCATAATGCTACATTGATGGAATCTTCTTAAAATAACTTAAAGGTTAAAGGCCCAGGGGGTGTTAGATTACTTGGGTAGTTAATAACTTAATTAAATTAGGGGTCTACTAGATCTAAATACAAGTCAAAATCACTAACCAAAACCTAAAACCCTGTCCTTCATTAGCCGTAAACCTAATTTCTGACAACCTAAAACCTATTTTCTTAAAAGTATTATTGGGCATTCATAATACAAATACTATTATTACTAAATTACTTAAGCTACTTACTAATAACTGTGTTATGGTTTGTACTACTCCTACTAACACTAACATTTGAATCTACTCCAGACTAGAACTAGACACTACAAAAATCTGTCTGATTTTAATTAATGATTTTAAGGCTAGTTAATCAAATTATCAAAGGAAAAATTATTTCTATCTGTCTTAATAAAGCAGTAGAATGTGAACTTTCTAACCAGAAAGACTTTAATTTAAAATGATTTATATGTGGGTCATAAAGAGAAAGTCCAATTACAATTTATTACTTATTTCTTTTTTAGACATATAGGCTAATCAATCAAATAATTGTAATCTTTTAAAAATACATCATTGCCTAATCTAATTTCACATTAAACAACAGGCTGATCATGATTAGTACAATTATGGCTTAATTATTATTTATTTTTACACATTTAATTAATATTTATTTAATATGTCCCTATTTTTTCATTCAGTGCTAAATTGGGTTTTATTGTAATTTTCAAATTTTTACCTTTTTTTTGGTACTTTTTCTTAAAGCCAAAAACTAATGTCTTTCATTTTTCTCTTCTTTTTATTGATTAAAGTTAAGGCTTGAGTGGACCTAGACATTTAGAGGGGTTTCAACTGGGCTCTCTCATCTAGAGTCTATAAGGCATAAGCTATATTTGTACAACTATTTCATCATTTGGATACTTACCTGTTGTCAGTTATTACCCCCTGAAAAATCCCCAAAATCGGATTAGGACATTTCACCCAGCCCCCATGTCAATTACAAATTGATCTTAATCCTAACATTAAATGTAGCTAAAATGATAAGGCTATGAAATTATGCTAGTTTAGGTAAAGCTATGGTAACGTTTGTAGTAGGTGTAATGTTATTGGAGTATGAAAGTGTGTACATTCAACTACTGGGTTAAGTTTGAATAAGATATATTTACTGCTGGTTCAAAATAGGTCTTAAATTGCATTATATATTACCTAGTGATTTCAAAATCTATGGCTTATTAGAAAAGTACCACCCCTTTTTTTATTTTACCTTGAGTTATTTTGAGTTATCTTTTAGTAGTTTAGATGTAATAGTTTATTTTACATCTTAATTTCCCTATGATTTTACTTTTAGCCTTCTGTTATTAATTAGTAGTTTAGACTTAATATTTTATTTTACAACTAAATTTTCTTATGATTTTACTGCTAGCTAGTCACCCACCCATTGAGTCAAATCACTCAGCTATGCTGCTTTTTACCTTTCTGAACTACTGAGGTAGTAGCCTGACTATGCAATGGTGAGTTAATCAAGATCAAGAGAACATAAACTAAATTGATTGTATGTACAGCCTAGGGAGTTATTAGTCAGGTTGATTTTTAAATCAATCAATTATATATAGACTTAACATGCATAGGGATAGATTTTGAGATTAACATTCTATGCGAGACTAAAATAGGCTACCTAAATCAGCACATACTTCTCTGAGTGAGTATGTATTATAAGGGCAGAAAATGAGTTCTTGAGACAGGCAGGAAGAAATCTTATATCAAAACAGTATTACTAGGAGACATCAGTCATTAGTAGAATTATATTATGAACATGCTCTTTTGAGTTTTTTAAAACTTATTTTGATATTATTTCTAAACTTTTACCTTGGATTGAATTGTCTGCCTTTTTCCCAGTAGTTCCCATCTTGAGCATGCATGGGACATAACCTAACCTGTTCTATAGTTGCTAATCAAACTTCTTTATTCATGACAATACATTTTGAAGAGAGCACATTCTAACAATTATTAATCAACCATAAAAAATATTATAAAATACTTATTTACAAACCTTTTAATTAAAAAGCACAATAAAATGATTTTTGAGTATTATTTGACCATTAATTTCCCATAACGTTCATGTAGATTTAAAACAATACACTGTACATGTGTAACTGAAGCAAACCTTCAACTTGACAGCACCATGTAGGCTTGAGTTACCTGGATAGGCTGAAGAGTTTCTCATCCTGGTTTGGTTCAGCCTCTAAACACAAAATGTCAGGCGAGGAAGTCAAGCTGCCACCAGATCAGCCTAACTGGCCTGTGGTGAAGGAGTTGTTGCAAGATCTGCAAGCACAGCTGGAGAGTAGGAACATCACTGAGCAGGTACTCCACATACTTATTGATGTAAGGCATGGGTGTCCACGGCTGTATAATATGTCCATCAAGATATAGATGGAAGCAGGTACTCCACATACTTATTGCTGTAAGGCATGGGTGTCCTGGGCTGTGTAATATGTCCATCAAGATATAGATGGAAGCAGGTACTCCACATACTTATTGCTGTAAGGCATGGGTGTCCTGGGCTGTGTAATATGTCCATCAAGATATAGATGGAAGCAGGTACTCCACATACTTATTGCTGTAAGGCATATGTGTCCTGGGCTGTGTAATATGTCCATCAAGATATAGATGGAAGCAGGTACTCCACATACTTATTGCTGTAAGGCATGGGTGTCCACGGCTGTATAATATGTCCATCAAGATATAGATGGAAGCAGGTACTCCACATACTTATTGCTGTAAGGCATATGTGTCCTGGGCTGTGTAATATGTCCATCAAGATATAGATGGAAGCAGGTACTCCACATACTTATTGCTGTAAGGCATGGGTGTCCACGGCTGTATAATATGTCCATCAAGATATAGATGGAAGCAGGTACTCCACATACTTATTGCTGTAAGGCATATGTGTCCTGGGCTGTGTAATATGTCCATCAAGATATAGATGGACATAGAAGTAGATGGGAACGGGAGGATTGTCCTGAGACTAGCACCTGCTCCTATACAAACATATTTTTAGTGGGTCAGTTTAAACAATTGATACTTAACTTTTCCATTTACAAATACAAGTAGTTTTACAGAGTTAAGGAACTTGAAGAATTCGTCACTCTTAAAGCCATTTTGATTTCGTTCATGTAGTTTTTAAAGTGAGTTACATCTTCTTTTAAAGTTTAACCTCGCTATTTTTTTTTATTTATAGGAAACAGGATGGTTTATGCAGACAATATACACAGCCATCCAGTCTGATAGATCAGTAATGTCAACACTAGCAAGTCAGTTGAGTCGTTTTGTGCTGTCTCATACCAGCCCAGGCAGCAGTCCCCTATCTCGTTTAAAGTCACAAATTCAGTCAAACGTGAAGAAAAAACTGGATTCCAATTGTGTTTGGTTTGGTCTGGCTAAATACCTCAGTAGTATATCTAAATCAGATAGAGAACATTTCTTGTATGTTGTTTTGCCTAGAATAATTGAATTTGCTATCAGAATAGAGGAGCATCGACCTAAAGATGGTTTTCCTGTATGTAAGCAGCAAAAATGTAAGTAGAACTTGTTCAACTCAACTGCATTAGTTTTATTTTATTGTTAGTCCAAAAAAATGTTGCATGATTCTCTAATGGATTCACCAATAAATGATTAATCTATTTGCATAACACAAGATGATGTAGGTAGTCACACAGTTTGTTAGTCCTAACTCCAATAGTTTTGCATTGATCTGCAGGTAAAAAAGTCACCTTGTCCCGCCAGTTTGTCTGTTCAGTCATTGCCTGCTTCTTCCTGTCATTGTTCCCTGAGAGGATTCGGGAGTCTTCAAAAATGAATATAGTCAATTTTACACATTTTTTCAAACATCTTCAAATGTATGTTAAATACAATTGCTTCTCTTTCATTTACTAAATAAATTTATACTAAAATACTTGCTGTTTGGTTACTGAAATAGTGGATGTTTTTAATTTTTAGTTAAAGTCAGTAATAATTAGATTTAATTTAATAAATTTTAAGAAGGATTTTAAAAATTTAGTAGCAATATTCTTAAATTAAAGCAGCAATATTGATTTGATTAGCATTTTGTTTTAACATCAGTCTGTCATCATTAAAATTGTACTATGTGTCATTGCATTGTATTTCAGACCTTCTCAAGTTAGTAAATTAAAATGCGTCTTACATTATTTCCAATGTATGATTGATAGAAAAGATGTTGCTGGGAATATTATCTTTACTAGAAAGGTGAGTTCTTTTCACTTGTTATCAGTACTTGATAACTTTGTTGCCCGTCAGCTTTATTGTTTGATTGAAGAAGTGTTTCAATTAGTTGCTCATTAACTTTTTTGTTTGATTGAAGAATTGTTTCAATTAGTTGCCCATTAACTTTTTTGTTTGATTGAAGAAATGTTTCACTTTGTTGCAAATCAAGTGACTAACTGTATTGTTTGAAGAATTGTTTCATTAGTTGCTCATCAACTTTTTTGTTTGATTGAAATTGAAGAATTGTTTCAATTAGTTGCTCATCAACTTTTTTGTTTGATTGAAATTGAAGAATTGTTTCAATTAGTTGCTCATCAACTTTTTTGTTTGATTGAAGAAATGTTTCACTTTGTTGCCCATCAAGTGACTAACATTATTTTCTGATTGCAATAGGCTGCAGCAGCTACTTGGATGCTGACATATGATGAGTTGCTACAATGTGATATTAGTCTTTGTCCACTTCAAGTTCATGTTAAAGGTGTGATAGAGGACAGCCCACATGCTATTCAGGTAAGCAGTGGACAGTTGGTGGGTGAGCTAGCGTGTTTATAGAAGGTTAACATTGTATGTCTTCTACAACTGTATTGCTTGTTGCTGCTCTACAGGTGGACTTTGCTAACAAGTCTATTGGGGGAGGTGTCCTGGGCAAGTCAAGAGTTCAGGTACTGTGGGCTTCTAGACATTGTATAGATTGTCTGGAGTTTAAAATTTTTTGTTTAGAATGTGTTGTAAAACTTTATTCAAATATTTGGACCTGGCATTCACTATTAGAATAGATGGAGTAGAGTTCATCTGCTTCTGTAACCTCTGCATATTAGGGGATAGTGTGGTCAACCAGCTCTACTTTACCTACTGTCAGTCAGGTATTCATCAGAGGACAGTCCAGGTTAGCAGTTATGGACTCTACTTTCTGACCACACCATCCCATTCTATGATAAAAAAAGCTGCTAGTAAAATGTTTTAAAAGTTGGATTAGTGAACACTGTATGTGAACTATGTATGTGTGAGACAGTGAATCCTGTAGCAACATTAGGTATGAGACAGTGAACCCTGTAGCCACATTAGGTATGAGACAGTGAACCCTGTAGCCACATTAAGTGTGAGACAGTGAACCCTGTAGCCACATTAAGTGTGAGACAGTGAACCCTGTAGCCACATGAGGTGTGAGACAGTGAACCCTGTAGGTACATTAGGTATGAGACAGTGAACCCTGTAGCCACATTAGGTGTGAGACAGTGAACCCTGTAGCCACATTAGGTGTGAGACAGTGAACCCTGTAGCCACATTAGGTGTGAGACAGTGAACCCTGTAGCCACATTAGGTGTGAGACAGTGAACCCTGTAGCCACATTAGGTGTGAGACAGTGAACCCTGTAGCCACATTAGGTGTGAGACAGTGAACCCTGTAGCCACATTAGGTGTGAGACAGTGAACCCTGTAGCCACATTAGGTGTGAGACAGTGAACCCTGTAGCCACATTAGGTGTGAGACAGTGAACCCTGTAGCCATTAAATGTCAGACATTGAACCCTGTAGGTACATTAGGTGTGAGACTGAAGGTTTGATATTTTGCCAGGAAGAGATCAAGTTCAGTGTCTGTCCAGAACTGTTATCAGCCATGCTCTTCATGGAGAACATGGACCCTAATGAAGCCATTGCTGTGTCTGGCTTTGAGCAGTTCTCCTGTTACAAGGGCTATGCTGAATCTCTGGAATTTGCTGGCCACTATCATGACCCATCAGGTGCTAGGGTAAGTGGTTTTTATCATCTGACTATTAAATTACCTTTATTGAATTTCTTGTAGGGGTTAGCGTGGTAGAGTCGGTAAAGCTCATGGTTGATAAACCGATAAGTCTCGAGTTCAAACCCTCGGGCAGATGAGGCTCGTTAGCTGGGGACAGCAACTCTTCTAGGGGAGACAACTCCAAAATCAAACAACTGCTGCCTCATAGTTTGTTCTTGGTTGGACAAAGGCTATGGAAGCAAATCTAAAAAGAAAAGCAGGCTGAACTTGGAGTCAATGGCCTCAATGGCGCATAACCAGTTGACACATATCCTTAATTGTGTTGGAGGCGTGGTCGAGTCTGCAAAAGCTCATGGTTGATAAATTCGAAAAAGTCTCGAGTTCAAACCCTCTGGCAGAGAAGGCTCGATCTCTTCCAACACTAAAAATTAAGAATGAAGAAGAAGAATATCTTGTTACAGTGTCTATTAAAAATATTGTTATGGTGGTTACATTTTTCTTTAGTATGTGGTTTTTCCAGGTCATTTTCCTCAAAGTATAACTAATGTATTTTTGACAATCTTGTTTTATTTGTCTATCACAGGGCCACAAGATGGTAGCTATTGATGCAATTTCCTATCGCACCTTACCACTCCTTAACCAGTATCAGGACAACTTTATCTTGAGAGATTTAAACAAAGCTGTTGTTGGATTTTGTAGGTTTCCTGAGGTGGATGAAGACTTAGAGTTAAATCTTAAAGGTACAGTTCCACCTGTTCAGTAGCATACTTTGTCTTTATATATATATACATATATATATATATATATATATATATATATATATATATATATGTATATTTATGTTAATATTAAAAAATTAAATTCTTTTTTTTTAGAAGTTGATAGGACCTGTGATGATGCTGCTGATGTGGTGACAAGTGCCATGAGAGATGCTGTTGAAGATATACCAAGCTCAGAACTGTTTCCTGTTGAAGTGGAGCTGCATGGGCTGCAGTCTCTGGGCACTGCTGGCATTCAGTCAACTGGTGCCGTACCACAAGCTACCACTGCTGCAGGTGACCTGAGGGATGGCACCAAACTAGAGACGTCCAGCACGTCAGGGAGCATTTCAGACACCCCACCTCATGCTGACACCATGTCACAGAGTGGTGATGTCATGCCACTGTCATGCCATGCTTCCAAAAGTCTACCTTCAACTACAGTGCAATCTGTGGATGCTCCCCAAAGTTCACAAGTAGCATCAGACAGTACAACATCAGCAGGTGTAGCTGAGTCAGCAGAGCCAGCAGGAGCTCCATGTAAACTTGAAGAACGTTCAGAGTTGACTTGTAGCAAGCATCCCAATGATCAAATTTCCCATGTTTTGTGTGTGGATGTAGAAAATGGTAATAGAGTTGTTCTGGGAGATGAGGCTTGCTGTAGAGCAGCTGATTCAGGTAGTCAAGATGTGTTCATGGATGTAACTGCTGCAGTCTCTGTACAATCTTATCCAAGTGCCTCTCCATCATACCCCAGTCCATCAGACCCCACCCCATCATACCCCAGCCCATCATACCCTAGCCCGTCAGACCCCAGCCCATCAGAGCCAGCTAAAATGTCATTTCATGAATCACAACTGTTGAGTGACATCCTTGGGAACTTGACCAGACCAAGTGACCATGGAGGGACTACCTTGAGCAGACCCGTTGAGCACCCAGTGATTTCACCCATGTTTGTCCACCCTACTGCTGCTGAAGACATTCTTTCACCCCCCAGTGAAGTGTATGCAATAGCTGGTGCACCAGAGGAGTGTGTGCCTGTGTCTACCAGTGATCTCTGTGTTCCTAGCTTGGTTTCTCTCTGTGACAGTCTTGTATACTCAGATCTTTCACAAAGCACAAATGGAAATGTTCAGGTAAAGTTGGATGTGACTGGATATGAGACAGCATCATTCAAATCTGCCCAGAGGCTGGAGAGGACACCTTCAGATCTCTCAGCCCTATCTCTAGTGGTGAACGTTGGTTCCCAGAGCTTGTCCACCAACTCAGCTGAGGAGGAGAGCACCAAGCCTCTGGAGCTGTTGTCTGTGTCTGTGGAAGATGAGCAGACCAAAAGTCAGCTGCTGGACACTGGAGCGGCCAGCTTTGATTCAGTCCTGCCGTCCATGTCTCCGCAGTCGTCCGGCTCCTCGGCTCATATTTCTCCCAACACATCCATGACATCCAGCGAGCCGCTCAACTCGCAGTCCAACTCTGATTTCTTCCAGCAAGTCTCTGAGGTCTGCGGAGAACAGTACCTAGAGCGCAGAAGTTCTAGAGACTTTTACGGAGAGCTGCGGGAGTTTCTCAACTCCTCGAGCTCAGGTTCTCGCAGCTCAGCCTCTGGTGGGCCCAACTCTAGCTCTAACTCAACCTGGGGGTCAAGGTCAGGATCTATATCATCTCATGGCACCAATGGCTCATGTAATGATTTTGTTGACTTTTGGAATAACTTCCGGCGCCGAAGCTCCCAGTTGAGTGACACCACGTCTCGCAGGTCCAGCTCCAGCAAACACAGCTCCGACTTCAGCACAGACCTAGAGGTAAGACACTTTTATTACAGCTGAGACAATCCTAGATGTAAGACACTCACTTTTATTACAGCTGAGACACTGAGACAATCCTAGATGTAAGACACTCACTTTTATTACAGCTGAGACAATGAGACAGTCCTAGATGTAAGACACTCACTTATATTACAGCTGAGACACTCAGACAATCCTAGATGTAAGAGACTCACTTTTATTTGTAGCTTTTGTTTTCTTTTTTGTAAAGTGCTCAATTTATAATTGAAATTATTACATTTTTGTTCAATTTATAATATTTAGCTTTCATGAAGTGAATAAGTGATATAAAATTAAAATTCTGAAAGGATTATATACAGGTTTGAAAGTGACATCACAATTATCTATAGTTAGCAAATTCTTTTTAATAAATAGCACAAAGCAATTTTCATTCAAGTTCAAGCTAGACTATTATTCTCATTATTTGCGTGCCAGCAGTGAAAAGTATCTACAGATATGGCTAGATATTCATGTGATTTTGACAGTACATTCTTGTTCATAATTCAAGAAAAAACCTAAACATTATTACAATTTTTCTTTAAGCATGACATTTAATTGCACGTTAAAGACATTGCTCATAAAAATGTAACTTTCAGGAAATATCAGAGGGCCTACAGAAATACAGCCACGGAATCATTGAAGAGGAAGGGGGACTCTTCTCCATGCTGACAGACTTTGCCTCACAAGTTGTATCCACAGCTGTCAGCAAGGGTGTGGCCACAGCTGTTAACATCAACTCTGTGGATCTGGGGGATCAGGACAGCACACTGGACCAGGTGGCCAGCTTCATGGATACATCTGACAAGATGGATAAGGACAGTTCCATGGATACATCTGACAAGATGGATAAGGACAGTTCCGTGGATAAATCTGACATGGATAAAGAAAGTTCCATGGATAAGTCTGACAAGATGGATAAGGACAATGATTTTAACCTGGGGGATAAGGATAAAGTAGTAGATGAAGCAGATACGGTCAGTGCAGTGGATCATATGGGCAAAGGCCTGCTCCATAAATCTGTCAGTCCACAGGTAGAAGATCGTAGACATGAAGACCAGTGTCCTGCTGCCTTGCCTGTAGGAGCCAGTGGAAAGAGCCGGAGCAGGTTCTCTAGAACTGCCACCTTAGTCAGACAAGAAAAACTCAACCCAGATTTTGAAGACTCGCCTGAAGTCTTGTTCCCTCAAGGAGAGGGATCTGGAATACCTGGCAAGTTTAGTGAGGGTGATGGTATACCTGGCAAGTCTGAGCATCAGGAGCACCAAGCAACAACTGTCATTCCAGCTCCATCAGGTTCACCTGTGTTTTCTAAATCTTCAGGTGTAAAACCAGGTCATCAGAGTGTGGATTCTGGCTTCATCTCTGTCCAGACCTCGGCAGCGTCACTCCATGAGCCAGGTGTGTCAGCCTCTAAGCCTGCTAGTGGTGACCTTGTTAGTGGTGACCTTGTTAGTGGTACCCCTGTTAGTGGTACCCCTGTTAGTGGTGACCCTGTTAGTGGTGACCTTGCACATGAAACCATTCCAAAGAAAGAGACATCACTAGACTCCCATGTGTACAAGCCATCTTTGCCTAGTTCTACTGCTGAATCCACACAACTAAAGAACACTGACCAAAACATCAAACAGAAGCCCACATCGTCTTTCAAAAGTCATTCCTCTTCTCATATTCCTAAAGCAGCCACCAGTACTGAAGTGCACAGTAAGTCTGGCAAGGCCAAGCGAATGAAAAGTGTTGAAACAGCTGGCAAAGTGCCCAGCCAGTATCTCACAGACTCTAAGCTAGCCAGAGAGGCAGCAGCAGCCTCAGTGTCTGAAAGCTCATCCTGTTCCATGCATGTGTCAGTGGGAGCCAGCGGACCATCCAGATCATCAGGGATACCCAAGTTTAAAAACTCTTCTAAATCTCTGTCTGAGACAGCCAAGTGTTCCTCCCCTCCACATCATAAGGCCAGGCAGGAAGACTTGCCAGTTGATAGAAAAGATGGATCTAAAGCAAATAGAGCCAAGAAACAAAGCAAGAGAGGAGATGACATGTTCCCCCTGCCACAGAAAAGCCGATACATATTTTCTGATGTTGCCCCTCCCCTCCGTGAGAAGAAACACAGGCACAAAGACAGCACTGCTGATTCCCCACAGAAAAAACATGGCAGAAATACTGGTAGAAAATCTGATGATAAAAAGCGTCCTTCAGCTAAAGATTCACCTAAAAAAACACCTTCAAAAGATTACACCAAATCACCAAAATTTATTCGCTTTGTCAACTCTCTAGCTGAAATATCAGTGAGTCAAGCAGTGCTAGAAGGGGCTGAGATCCTCACACAAGCCCCACATGCTCACGATGAGATCTCTGATGAAGTTTACAACTGGTTTGCCACCAAGATCATCAATGAAGTATTTTTTCATGTCCTCACTGAGACAAGGGAACAAGACCCTGCTGTACACCTGGATGAAATTGGCGCCTCTGGTGATTTGGTTCCTTCCGTTGAGGTGGAAGCTTCCAGGTTAATAGAGAACATGTTCCAGACGTTGGGCGCCAGCGCAACAGACACTGTGGAAGTGGGATCTGCCAGACAAAAGTCTAAAGGGATTCTGCCAGCCAAGTCAGACATGGCAGCGTCCAGCTGTCATAGTAAGGTCCCTGGCTCTCTTAAGGTGGTCAAGTTCAAGGAAAGTTATGAAGATGATGAAAGTGCTGCCAAGCCAGCTCAAACTCCAGCCAACAAGACAAACTCCAGCACACCATTCCGTATAAGCAGCAGCATTCCAATTCCAGTCCGCAGGAAAAGTAGCTTAGATCTTCCTTTGGTTTCCCCCCCTGTGGGCAGGGGGCCAGGGGATCTGTCCTCTGACCAGCAGAGAAGAGGTTTGGCCAGTGTGGATTTGTCTTTAGACATTTACCAGACAGCCGCCTCAATAGTCAACCAAGTTTTTCAGACCATCTCTGACAGCATGGACGCTCAGGTCCTCAGCCCTGGATCTTCCTGCCGATATGGAACTGTTTCATCCTCAGATGCCCATTCAACAGGTTTGTGCTTGCTCATTGTATTGTTTAAATCGTTTATATTAAATTATATTCATGTCTCCTATTTAGGTTTTAGCATATCTAAATTTTTTTGTTTTACTAGATTTTTCATTATTTTTAAAATAGTTCATAAAATAAAAGTTTTGGTTTATATGTAAATTAATTTATTAATTTTGGTAATTTAAAGAACCTAACAATCTTTTGTTACTTAAAGTGACAGTTAAATTATAAGGTTGCATTAAATTGATCTGATTGGTTATTTTGTTCTCTCTACTGCCAGGCAGCAGAATTCATAGTCACTACGATAGCTTTGCCTCAAATATTTTCTCAAGTTCTTCTATGAAGACTTCAGAGAGTCCACGACGGAGCCGCCGATCTGTGTCCCCTAGTATAGGTGTCTTCTTCAGAAAACCCATGAGCCGTGAAACTCTGACCAACGCATTTCTCAAGGTTGACCACAGCCCTCAGATAAAGTCGTACGAGCGACGCAGCAGTGAACCATGTCAGACAAGCGTGCAGTTGTCCTTGCAGGCCTTCAACAACAACAAGTTCTCTGGGAAGATGGTGGAGGATAAAAATGTCAAAGTTTCAAGGACTGATGATGACATTGGTCGAGGCAAGACATGGCGTCGTGGCTCCTTGGAAGGATTCTCGTTTGACCAGCGCAGGAATTCATGTGGGTTCAAGGACCCTGTGCTGTCCAGGTTTGCTGAGGAGCTGATGAAGGCAGACACCTCTGTGCCAGAGCTTGTCATTGTTGGATCCCATGCCAGCTCTTCTTCAACAGGTCAGCTTGTCCCACGTTTGGTCCTTGTTTGTCCTAGGTTTGGGTTAAACTTAAAGTCTTTTGTCAATCAATAGGACTCAAATCATATCAAACATTAACTGTAATTAGTCAATAAGTCATACAAGAAACATTGTGTATTATGCATCAATTGTAACACCACAAATATAATGCAACAATGACATGGTTATAAAAGCATGCCACAGTGTTTTTATTATAAAACAATATTATGAAAAGATTTTTTATAGAAGAAATGTTTGCGCCTGTTGTATTAAAAATATACTTTTGATGTTATAGGTTCTAGGCGAAGCAGCATGAGTGCTTTTAGGGATTCAACTTTAGCTAATTTAGAAAATGAACTTCTTAATACCAGTTTCACAAGGTTAGTTGAACAAACAGAAAGTTTACGTTGTATGTTTGTATTTTAAGTTTCAGTGTTAACCAGCTGTGAAGCTTTAGGCTTTAAATAATTGTAAATAGTCATCAGAAAAGAATTTCATTGAATTCTTTTCAGACCAATAATTGTATAGTTTCATATAGCAAAAATCCCAAAGTTTAAGTTAATTTATTATAAATATATCTACTGATGGCCTATGATTCATCTCTTATGATAATTGGTTTGATGAGACTTGGGTGAGATATGAAACAAAAGACAGGACCGTTTTATCCAAATCACATAGAAAACATTTAGACCAGTTACTATTTCCATCTTCAGTGCCTGTAGCATGTCCCAGTCCACCAAATCCCACAGAAAACACAAACATTTAGACCGGTCAAGGAGTAGAGAATCTCGCCAAGGGAAGTCAGACAGCTCAGACACAGAGTACTGGTTCCCTCCCCCTAGGTTTGTGGGTGAGGAGTTCCAGCAAGAGTACAACAGACAACACAGCCAAGATGAGCTGCAGGTACCACTTCTAACACATTCACATTTCTTCAGTTTTCTATTGCTTTTTCTCTTTTTTTAAATAACTTTTTTTCTTTTCATACTTTTACCGCCTACATAGTAATTGAACATTTAGTTTTATAAAGTAATTGATTAGTGGTTTTAACAGATTGATAACATTAATAGATTTGGGTTGACAGGCTTAAACCTGAAGAAATCAGTTCATATTCTGCTTCTCTTATTTTTAATATTTTCTCAGTGTTTTCTGGCTTTATTTAACTGATAGCTGCTTGAGAATATTTTCTCCAACTATGTTCAATTGCTGTTGTGGTTTTCTTTTCTATTATTTTAATCTTTGAAGTTTGGCTTTGATATAACACCATTCAATTTTTGGCTTTCAAACCTGACAATTAAGAGGTAGGAACTTAGCAGACATTTTCCATAAAGGTTTAAAATGACCCTTCTTTTCCTGCACTCTCTAGGATTATGCGAGTTATTTTGCTGGTCGTGTAGTGCAGGAGGCTGTTTGTGTGCTCCAGTGTGAGCCAGAATACATGAGCCAAGATGCGCTGGATGTTGACATGTTTGCTGAGAACCTGTCTGACCAAATCATGCGCGACGTTTTTATTTCGTCAGTTACCAAAACAGCTGACAGGGTCCAAGCTGGCACAGATATCAGGGGAAGTAACCAGTTTCCCTTTGGGGAGGGAGCTAAGCCTAAGACTTCCAAACCTAAAGCTATTCCACTCAAGAAAGGACAGGAAGCACGCAGTCATAAAGCTAGTGGAAGTCAACTCCGAGTAGGAAAAGCTTCATCTTTAAGTGAATCACCAGTGCACCTCCAGCCCCCCCACTCTAGTCAACCTTTCCATGGGCCCCGGGGTGTGGTCAAGCACAGACGTAGAACTCCATCTTATCCTAATGACGCTAACATCCCAAGAACCAAACGCCATTCCTCACCGTCCCCCTTCTTCCCTGGGGTCTGGTCCCGTCCAGCAGCCTCATCATTACAAGTTCCTGTAGGCCAGCATCGGCCCAGCATGGTCATGAGAAGCCTGTCTGAGTCCAGCACCAGCAGAGACAGCAGCAGCAAGCATCACACTGTGGTAAGGAACTCCGCTGGCATAGCTCTCTAGATGATTTCTAGCGCTAACAAATGTATTCACACTTTTCAGAGGTGTTTACTGCACAATTTTAGATGGTTGGTAGCACTTAGTGTATTCCCCTTTTTCAGAGGTTTATGTGGCACATTTTTCTTTACCAGTTCTTTACTTTCTAACTTTTTTATATAGAGGTATTTTCTTAACAACAGTGATAACATTTTCTCTTAATAATGTATCATTTTATGAAACTTACAAAATACATCCAGTTGTGAGTTGTTCAATGACCGCTTTATTGCATTGATTTTTAAAAAATCCTTGGTTTTTATTATTATTATATCATTTATGTTTATACATTTTAATATATAAATAAAGATACATGTATCTATATATAAGTATACATCCAATTATAAATAAATGCATAGGTAGATATCCATATATCACAATCATCTATATACCTATCATAGTTGTACATATTACATAGGTAGATATCCATATACCACATTTATCTATATACCTATCATAGTTGTACATATTACTCTCACAGTTGCTTTATACTTCTGGATCACTTTTAGCTGTAAGATTTAAAGCTAAGTTTGATGTTGTAAACTATTTAGTCTATCTAAAATTTCTTGTATGGAAAGTTGACCATTTCTTTCAAAGAGTATTGTTTTTAAAAAAAAGTTAATTAATTTAGATTCATGCATTAAGAATCTCATGAAATATGTGCAAAAGTGAACTGAAATATTTTAAAATGCTATATTCCTAACACTTATTTTTTTTTCAACTTTAATCCCAACTTTCCAGAAGAGGAAAATAAACTCTAGCCTGGGTGATCATAAACAAGTTTGACATTGCTGTGATTGTTTGTGTATCAATATCTAATTTATCCACTAAATAAAGCTGGCTATTAGTTCAATTCATTTTTGATGGCTGCTTTATTTACTTGTCTATTAGTGCTTGAGTCTTTATCCGTAGGTTCAATTGGCTATTTTCATGAGAACTTACAATACTTGTTTATAATGAATACAAATTAAAATATTTTAAATGCATCTTTTAGCAACATTTAAAAAATCACTAAGCATAAAAGAATATTTTTTTAAAGTTTAAATGCATAGTATTAATAGAATGTGAAAATCATTTTAACATTTTATAACTAAAATTTTGAGTGCATCATTGATTCAATGTTTGATTAATAGTTGATAGTTCTTCAACACATACATTGAAACAATTTTAAAATTGTTTTGTGGTTTAGCTACTGACACAATGCATTTGTTTTTGGTGATTCCAATAAGTACACAAATAATAACTTACAATCACAGTTCTTCCACTAGTGCATCAAATAATTTTATATTACTTTAAGTTTCCAAATAGGTTAAATGTTAAACAAATTTTATGTGTGGTAGAATCAGTATTTATTGATTGGTAGGTCAAAGGTTAAACAATTTTTATGTGTGGTAGAATCAGTATTTATTGATTGGTAGGTCAAAGGTTAAACAAATTTTATGTGTGGTAGAATCAGTATTTATTGATTGGTAGGTCAAAGGTTAAACAATTTTTATGTGTGGTAGAATCAGTATTTATTGATTGGTAGGTCATAGGTTAAACAATTTTTATGTGTTCAGTAGAATCAGTATTTATTGATTGGTAGGTCAAAGGTTAAACAATTTTTATGTGTGGTAGAATCAGTATTTATTGATTGGTAGGTCAAAGGTTAAACAATTTTTATGTGTGGTAGAATCAGCATTTATTGATTGGTAGGTCAAATGTTGAAATAATTTATCATCAGAAAACCAACTTGTACCAGAGGGAGCAGTCACCAGCAAGTGTCAGGTCTGTGGACTTGAGCTCCTGCCTCTCTGACCAGACCTGCTCGTCCATCCTCTCATCATCATCAGCATCCTCGTCCACATCATCCCTGGCCAGTATTGGACCCACTGGTCAAGACAACAAACTGGACATGGATCCCTCATATCCAGAACTTTCTACTCAAGTCTTTCACAATGTGAATCAGGAAGCTGTTCCATCAGTAAAGGTCAGTGAGCAGCCTAGTGTGGGCAGTGTTAGCACGCCACTGAGACGACAATGTGAGCAGCCTAGTGTGGGCAGTGTCATCACGCCACTGAGACGACAATGTCACAGGTCTGTGGCTGATGAGTTTGCTAAAGGTTTGAGTGAACAAGTCATGGAGACAGCACTGGAGCAGTGTAGGAGCAACCCTTGGCTCAGGGTAAGTTGGGGCCTTTTTAAAAAAAATATTTGTGTGGTTGGTAGCTAGCAGTTGCAGAACACCTATGCTATGGTTTTATGGTGATAGATATTTAGGAGAAAAATGATTTGCATTACCCCCATTTTACAGCATCTGTCCTTATCAACAAATTTCAAAGCAAAAAAAAAAAACTTAGTTTTTTATTATAATTTAAAAAAATGTCTTCAATATTGAAATCATCAAAAGAAATTGCTAACTGATGTGTTGGAGATTAAATTTGTTTTTTCCTTCTCCAGTTTTGTTCCTACCACCAGCCAATAGCCACAGGTAACTGGGGCTGTGGGGCATTTCAAGGTAACCCACAGGTGAAGTTTGTGTTGCAGTGGATAGCTGCAAGTATTGCCAGATCTCCCACGTTGTTGTATTACACTTTTGGTGACCCAAGTTTGACAAAGGTAGGTCACTCTGATTCACCGTATCAAAACTATTTGACCCTTGAACTCTGTTAGCAGTACAGTCACAAGGCCTTGCCTGCTGGTGGTTGGTTGGTTTCTGCTTGGACAGCAAGTTTTCTTGAGTTCTTGTAGGCTTGAATTTTGTAAGTTAAGAGAGAGAGTTAAGAGAGAGAAATTGCTTTTAGGGCTGATGGTGCTAGACATTGCAAGACTATAGTTGTTTTTATTTTGGGTAATTTTATTATTGTAGTCATATTTTTGGGATAACTATCTTTAAACATATAATTTAGTGGTTCTTGTATTGCCTGTTCTGTTCATTTTACTTCCTTTTTTTCTATCACATAGGTGATATTTGATTCTGTTGATTTTTAAAATAATTTGATGTCAATCATCACCAGGCTCAAGAATTAGCTGCTCTGATAAGTGGCATGACAGTTGGCCAGCTTGCGTCCACACTAAGAGAATACTGTCATTGGATTACCAAGAACATTCCCCCTCCACACCACACCCAGACTGCCCCTAGGCCAGCTGAAGGGCAGCCCCCTCAGTCCTTGTTTGATTTCATTTGGGACAAGTTTCACACAGCAGAGGACAGATGACCATGATGTCAGACAACTGCTGGTGTTGTACCCAAGCTATGTTTGACAGGAGACCAAGGACATGTAAATATTGACAGGTGTAACCAGAGCAATAAAGTGACCAGCTGCTTCAACTCACCTCACAGTTTCCACAGTCTGGTCCATTTGATCCCCACCCCCATGTGTCAGGTCATGTGTGTTTGATCCCCACCCCCTGTGTCAGGTCATGTGTGTTTGATCCCCACCCCCTGTGTCAGGTCATGTGTGTTTGATCACCAACCCCTGTGTCAGGTCATGTGTTTGATCCCCACCCCCTGTGTCAGGTCATGTGTGTTTGATCCCCACCCCCTGTGTCAGGTCATGTGTTTGATCCCCACCCCCTGTGTCAGGTCATGTGTTTGATCCCCACCCCCTGTGTCAGGTCATGTGTTTGATCCCCACCCCCTGTGTCAGGTCATGTGTGTTTGATCCCCACCCCCTGTGTCAGGTCATGTGTTTGATCCCCACCCCCTGTGTCAGGTCATGTGTGTTTGATCCCCACCCCCTGTGTCAGGTCATGTGTGTTTGATCCCCACCCCCTGTGTCAGGTCATGTGTGTTTGATCCCCACCCCCTGTGTCAGGTCATGTGTGTTTGATCCCCACCCCCTGTGTCAGGTCATGTGTTTGATCCCCACCCCCTGTGTCAGGTCATGTGTTTGATCCCCACCCCCTGTGTCAGGTCATGTGTTTGATCCCCACCCCCATGTGTCAGGTCATGTGTTTGATCCCCACGCCCTGTGTCAGGTCATGTGTTTGATCCCCCTGCCACTGACCTAGAGTGTGGGTGTGCACCCCCCCCCCCCCCCCGCTGTACTAGAATGTGTGAGTGCAGTTATCAAGTTGTAGTTAAACACAGAAGTTGAGTTGGTATAGAATGTACTTGTAGGCTCTGTTAAACACAGAAGTTGAGCTGGTATAGAATGTACTTGTAGGCTCTGTTAAACACAGAAGTTGAGTTGGTATAGAATGTACTTGTAGGCTCTGTTAAAAACAGAAGTTGAGCTGGTATAGAATGTACTTGTAGGCTCTGTTAAACACAGAAGTTGAGTTGGTATAGAATGTACTTGTAGGCTCTGTTAAAAACAGAAGTTGAGCTGGTATAGAATGTACTTGTAGGCTCTGTTAAACACAGAAGTTGAGTTGGTATAGAATGTAGTTGTAGGCTCTGTTAAACACAGAAGTTGAGTTGGTATAGAATGTAGTTGTAGGCTCTGTTAAACACAGAAGTTGAGCTGGTATAGAATGTACTTGTAGGCTCTGTGAAACACAGAAGTTGAGTTGGTATAGAATGTACTTGTAGGCTCTGTTAAAAACAGAAGTTGAGCTGGTATAGAATGTACTTGTAGGCTCTGTTAAACACAGAAGTTGAGTTGGTATAGAATGTACTTGTAGGCTCTGTTAAAAACAGAAGTTGAGCTGGTATAGAATGTACTTGTAGGCTCTGTTAAACACAGAAGTTGAGTTGGTATAGAATGTAGTTGTAGGCTCTGTTAAACACAGAAGTTGAGTTGGTATAGAATGTAGTTGTAGGCTCTGTTAAACACAGAAGTTGAGTTGGTATAGAATGTACTTGTTGGCTCATGTAGTCTGGAGCCAGACCAAATTGTAAATAGAAGGACTATTTATTATAAACTAGTTGGACAACTGAAGTAGCAATAATTCATGCAGTTTTTTTATAAGTTACTGTTTAGTAAAGTATAATTCTTTTGTGCTCAGGTGTGGGCCTTTAAATTTTTTTTTTCAAAAGCTGAATCTCATTTTGTAGAAGAAAGATTTTAAAAAGCCAAATAGAAATTTTGACCCCACCCACCCTGAGGTTATCTTACACCCACCCTAAGGTTAGCTAAGACTACAGCAGTAACTTGCCAGTGTTTGATTCCAAAACTCTTCTAACCCAAACCCTTGCTGATATTGAGTGTTGTTGAATGCCTGCTGAAAGTTGTCTCCCATTCACTGTCAGAGTTGAACCTTGCCCTTGCCATCAAATGGTGCTATCTTCTACTGCATAATGAAACATAATCCTCTTTGTTTCAGCTCAATACTTCTTCATGTGTTTGCAATATTCTGCATTTAAATAATAAATACTGAAATCAGCTTTTTGCCAAATTTTTCTGCATGCATAATAGCCAACCTTATGTAGAGATTAGAGCAGATCCTCCTCAGTTGGCTTTAGGCAGGCCTTGAAAACACAACTTATTTACCCTAGGAACTTGAAAAGTTGAAGTTTAGATGACTAAATTTTCTGCACAAATTTGAGACCAAAGACCTCAGCAATTTGTTTACATCCCATGTATTGGCACAGTTGTCTCCCTCTTGCCCCCCCCCCCCCCCCCCCCCCCAGTACTGTAGCTCCCACCCTTGGAATTGCTTCATTACATAATTGTATTAGTCAGCTGATTCACACAAGTCATGAGATTTAGTGGGGCTTGGTTTGGTGGCCACACTATTTATATACTACATTATTGCTGAATTGTATTCATTTATTATTTCTGGTTCAAAATCTTGACTCAGCTACAAATATGTTTACAATATTTGAAAAAATTGTATGACATTGTGTTGTTTAGCCATTTTACCAATTTTAAATTTCAATGAGACAAACTGGATATTGAAATATTAAAAAGTACAACTATTTTTAAAGCTATGAAATAAATCTAGAAACATGCAGTTTAAAATATGTGTAGAGTTGTGTATGTTAGTGAGGCTGATTTCTCACCATGCAAGTAATTGTTTTAAAACTTAACATTTTTTTTACAGCTGATGATGTAATTATGCAACTTTGATCTTTAATCAAAAGATATTTTAATTGTCATGTTTTTATTGAATTCATTGTGATATGGAGGAAAGCTTATATATTTGTTTGAATGAGAAAATCTTGTCAAAATGTTTTTATTTTCACATTTCACACAGTCCATCTTCATCTACCATAATCAAATGAGAAATTTTCTTTGGAAAGTTTTCTAAATTACTGTAAAACCAATGTATGTGATAGCATAGCAGTACTGAAGAAAGATTTGTTTTTTTTTTGTGTGAATGAATGAAGGTTAGATGTTAGTTGGAGATAAAACCATTTGATCTATGTGGTATCATCTGACCACAATTTTTATAAACTTTGAGTATTAGACCTTTTTTGATTAATAAACAGTAGTCCTGTTGATAAACATGACTTGCAACAGTTCTAAATATTGCCATCAAAAATGTAGGCTTTGATCGTGAATTGAGTTTTCAGTGAGGTCCATGGTTCTCTCTATTGTCCAGATCTGATTGTAAGTTTGTAGTGGCCCAGCTTGCTCAGTGTCTTTGTTTTCTCTAGTCCTAACTTATTTTAAAAGCTTTACACTATTCACTCGTTAAGAAAGAAGAGTTTTAATTGTGTGTGATGTTACACCACACATGTAAAGAAAGAAGTTTTAATTGTGTGTGATGATAGACCACACATGTAAAGAAAGAAGAGTTCACTTTCATCAGATTGTGTTTTTTTAGTTGCTGCCAGTTCTGTTTTGAGTATATTTTTTATGCAAATCAAACTTTCCCATTACTTTTCATCCTAATTTGTATTTTAATGATTTTAATTGTCAATAAATTAATTGTATAACTCATGACAAGGAAATATTTATTTTTTAGTCCTCACTCTGTTCACTGTTTCTGGCTTTGAATTCAAGCATTTTGTTATTTTAATTCTACTTTTTTTTTATTATTAGTCATTTTGAAATTATGAAATACTAATTATGACTTTCCAAATTTATTTTATCCTCATAATGTCTTCCACTCTTGGGTTTTCTTACATCTGATGAAGTATCTGCCAAAGTTAGATGGTGAAGTAAAATGTAATGAAACCTGTTCAGATGTTTCTTACTTCATCTGCCACATTTCATGTATCACCAGAGTTGAAGGGGTGTGGCTATACAGTTTTAGACTGGCCTGAATCTCAGGTGGGCTGAACCTAGTCAGATTGATAGGACCCTAGTCAGGTGGGTTTAATCCTTCACTTAAACCTTGGTTTGACAAACCCTAGTCAGGTGGGTTTAATCCTTCACTTATAGACTTAAACCTTGGTTTGACAAACCCTAGTCGAGTGTGGACTGAACCCTAGTCTAGTGTGGACTGAACCCTAGTCTAGTGTGGACTGAACCCTAGTCCGATGGGTTGACCTAATATGGTGGGTTAATAGAAACCTGTAGTCATACATTTCTCTACTTGATCTCTTGGCCCCACCCCCAAATTTGACCGACTATTGTTTTATTCTGTTGATGTCTATTTATAACTTGTGATATATTCAACTGTTTTACCTTGATGCTTGCTGTTTAGTTATTATATCTCTGTTCTAGTTTACTATTTTGTTTTACAAGTAGAATTACTGTCATCAACAGTATGTATGAACTTTCTGTATTTCCAATAGACTTTTGACATGACAATGAGTCAAAGCAATAGGGGGTCACAGTATGTACAGAGGGCTTGACCAAGTAAAGGCAGATACAATCAATAATTTTTGTTTTAAAACATTTAGTTTCATTGTTTCATCTCTTGCTAGTTATTAAAGCTGATTAATATTTTTGTTTAGACGTGCTGTGTTCATTTCTATAGACATGACTTTCTATTTTTTTTATTTATCTTGACATATAGTGTCACAATGGAATTGTGTAATGTGAGAATTCACAGTTGACTGGTAGTGGTGTTACATATAGTCACATAACATCACAGTTGACTGGTACATGTGTTACATATAAAGTCACATAATGTCACAGTTGACTGGTAGTTGTGTCACATAACGTCACAGTTGACTGGTACATGTGTAACAAAGTCTGCTTAACATTTTGTTCTCAAACAAAAAAAAGTTCTCTGGTGTTTTCAACTGTTTGTCAACCTTCATTTGAGGGGAACTAACACACCATGAGCGCCACTAAAACTTTTGTTGCTTTTTGTTTTGCACACCAATAATGATAGTCCAGTTGAGCAGTGGAAACAGCTTACAGTAAGTTCAAGGGTTAACCTGCAGACATTAATCATTCAGCTTTGGACATAACAATTTATACACACAGTGGAAGATAATGTGTTTATTTGGACACACTAAATCATTTTATTTTTTAGAAATAAAATTTGGATTGGAAATTTTTTTTTTAGATTTAAAAAGTAAACGTTTTGGTTTAATTAAGTCTTGGTATGTTAACTACCCAGTGGTGAATTTATTAAGCAGAGATTAAATTTTTGAAGTTGCAGGAATTTTATGTCTTGAAATATTTTTTTTATACTGCTATCACCAATCAAATGTGAGACAAACATTTTCAAATACTGTATGGGAGACCAATATTGTTGGGTGAAATGTACTGTTTTATGTATGTATGTATGTATGTATGTATGCATAGTGTGTCTAGTTTTCCAACAGTGTTTTACACATTGCTCTGTGTGTGATCTACATGATATTTCTCAAAAAGTGTTCCAATAATTTTATAATGTCATTAATAATGCATAATAAAGGCATTAATATAAAACAAACACATGCTATCTTGTACTTTTACTTTGTGCTAAGTAATCTAGCAGTTTAAAATTATTTGTATAAATATGAACAACAAAGAAAATTTTGTGGTAAACTTTAAAAAATAAAAATTGTAATCCTTGTTTCAATAAAATAATTAGAATAATTGAAAACAAAATGTTGATGGCATTAAACAAATGGTAGAGCATGTTTATCTGCCCATTGCCTGTGTTGAGGGCTATGTGTTATTGATCCTGGATTAATTGTTATCTGACACTTGATGTGTTAAAGTTCACTTCAGTAATGTCATAAAGAGGGGGTCGGCGTGGTCGAGTCGGTAAAGCTCATGGTTGCTAAACCGAAAAGTCTCGAGTTCGAACCCTCGGGCAGATGAGGCTCGTTAGCTGGGGACAGCCACTCTTCTAGGAGAGACAACTCCAAAATTAAAACAACTGCTGCCTTGTAGGTTGTTCTTGGTTGGACAAAGGCTATGGAAGCAAATCCAAAAAGAAAAGCAGGCTGAAATCGGAGTCAATGGCCTCAATGGCGCATAACCAGTTGACACGTACCGCTTAATTGTGTTGGAGGCGTGGTCGAGTCGGCAAAAAAAGCTCATGGTTGATAAATTTGAACAAAGTCTCGAGTTCAAACCCACTGGCAGATAAATCTCGATCCCCTTCAACACTAATAATTAAGAACGAAGAAGAAGAAGAAGAATGTCATAAAGACATTGAGCTGACCTGCTGACTAATTTCTCAAGGGTTAAGATTGTCAAATAAATCACAAAATCGACCCTATAGAGTTCACTGAAATTTGGTGACAACTATTTATGGCATCAACTTACAAGGTGCACGGGTATCCTAAAAAGTTTATTTGCTTGGATGAATAAATCAGTATGAATTATTTAACATTGCAAGCTACACAGACAAAAAACATTACTTCATGATTTAGCTTATAGCTGAAGTAAGTTTTTCAAGAGCTATTACAGAATACTTACTAAAATTTCATATTCACTGGAAATTTTCAGCTTGTTGTAAGGGGAAGATTTACAACTCCCATAGGCTGCTCATGCCTACAGGAATGTTGTTTCATAGTATTTTAAACTTGTTCCAAGTTGAAAAATGTGGGGGGGGGGGGGGGGGGGGGGGGCAGCACATTCCAATTATTTCAGTCCTGTTTACAGACTTCAAATTTTTTCATAATTAGCAATAGCTACTTAAATCAAGAATTATGGATGACCTAGATAGACTCTTTATGCTTGGGATCTGTGGGGGTCACAAAACAGGCATGGGTGAGGTCTACGCCTGTGACAACATCTAAGAGGTAACAACAAAAAACTCATGATATGAATATGAAAGTCTGCTTTACTGAGTTTACAAGCTTATTTAACTAATTAATGCTGTTTAATTCTAGGCCTATTTTACCACTTTAAGACAATTTCACTTTAACATTGAAAAAATACTTATAATAGTTTCAGTTATGCAATCAAAATATTTAATTTATGTGAAAAAAAGATTCTTACATAAAAAGTATATGAAAAACAAAGTAAATTTATACTACATAGATAAAAGTTAATTCATACACTGGAATATAAAAAATATGGCAGTCGCCAGATTTCGGTGCCGAAACCCGGGATCGAACCAGGGACCTTTAGATCTTCAGTCTAACGCTCTCCCAACTGAGCTATTTCGGCTGCCGAGAGAAGGGTAATAACCTAATAAGACTATCGTAAATATTATTTCAAATTAAAAAAAAACGGATGATTATAATCATTTATTTGACGTCATGGAACAATCAGTACTAATTTAATACATGTCAATATAGATTAGTAAGATAAAATGTGGATTCAACAAAAATAACACAGTAACAGTTAGTAAAGGCCAATTTATAATAAACAATAAAATTGCGAAATAAACATTCCATATCGCGTTTGATCCCGGTGCTAACGAGATCTAAACAAAACAAGACCATTCGAAAATGGGGAAATGTTACCAATAGTTATTGGAGAAGTTGAAATGAAAGAGCTTTGAGTTTTAATTTATAATGGCTTCATTCAGGAAAACTAGCAATGACGATATGCAAAATCTCCCAGATCTGTTGCGACGATTGTGTTGTAAAATAACCGGAATAAGCGGAGGTTGTAAGATTGCGTGTTTGTTAGGATTTTTTAGAATCTGAGACGGCACTGACTTAGAATCTAGATCTAAGTCTTAGATCTAGTAACCTTAGTCACTACAATTCACTAGATCTAGATCTAGATTCTAAATACTAATTACTACTTGAATTCTAGATCTAGTGACTTTGTCAACTATGTTTTTTTGTAGGCCTATATCTAAAAAAAAGGACTAACTAATCTAGCTGATGTTTGATCTGAGACTGGGGGGGGGGGGGGAGGTAAAACTCGGTATTGTATTTTCATTGAATTGCAATTTATTTATTTCTCCGCTTCTCATTCTCCTTTGGTTAAGCCAGGGCAGTTAAACATATTTTATTAAAACAACCCAAACACACCAAAACATGAGGAAAACAATTTATTTGGCCTATTTGTTTGAACAAATGAGTATAATATAAACAACAGACTGACCGAATTGTTTGTTAGTTACAAAAAAAGGGAGAATGTTTATACAAGGGAGAATGTTTATACCAATGCTGATAATGGAATCTTCTTTAAAAAAGGGGTGTTAGGTTACTGGTAGTTAACTAAATACACACATCGCTGGCTAATGTCAATGCTAACTCTGTCCCTAACCCTGGTCCTACCATACACCTAACTCTAATTTCTAACCATAAAATTAGTCGAGATGACAATACTACAACAACCCAACACCCCTTTTTTAAAGAAGATTCCATTATCGGACACCGGTATCTATAATCATCCCAAAAAATAGAAATGCACAATTTGTATAAAGTATAAACTATTAGGCAAACAGGTCTATAGGCCCTACTTAATTGCTGTTAATATCAGCCCTTTACTAAACTTGGTACAATATTACTAGCAACCAAACATACCTATTGAAAAAGAGTCCATTGTTGGATACTAATACTAGTAATGTAATACCAATACTCCATTAAAAAATTTCAAATTTAACGGAACACTATTACCTTTTTCCAGCTGATATTGCTCCACATTTTCAACTTGCACTGCAGTTGTTGGGCAGGTAAACATTTTGTTAGCATTCAGATTTTGGGCAGGTAAACATTTTGTTAGCATTCAGATTTTGGGCAGGTAAACATTTTGTTAGCATTCAGATTTTGGGCAGGTAAACATTTTGTTAGCATTCAGATTTTGAGCAGGTAAACATTTTGTTAGCATTCAGATTTTGGGCAGGTAAACATTTTGTTAGCATTCAGATTTTATGCAGGTAAACATTTTGTTAGCATTCAGATTTTGGGCAGGTAAACATTTTGTTAGCATTCAGATTTTGAGCAGGTAAACATTTTGTTAGCATTCAGATTTTGAGCAGGTAAACATTTTGTGAGCATTCAGATTTTGGGCAGGTAAACATTTTGTTAGCATTCAGATTTTGGGCAGGTAAACATTTTGTTAGAATTCAGATTTTGGGCAGGTAAACATTTTGTTAGCATTCAGATTTTGAGCAGGTAAACATTTTGTTAGCATTCAGATTTTGGGCAGGTAAACATTTTGTTAGCATTCAGATTTTGAGCAGGTAAACATTTTGTTAGCATTCAGATTTTGGGCAGGTAAACATTTTGTTAGCATTCAGATTTTATGCAGGTAAACATTTTGTTAGCATTCAGATTTTGAGCAGGTAAACATTTTGTTAGCATTCAGATTTTGGGCAGGTAAACATTTTGTTAGAATTCAGATTTTGGGCAGGTAAACATTTTGTCTTTCTGTTAGAATAGTATGACAGTCGTGTTAAATTCAGTTAAGGAATTAGGCCTATACTCTGTTTTTGGTAGAGCTTCATCTATATTTTTAACATCACCTTGGTAATGATGTATGGCAAGAAGACCATATATAAATTGTATTGTATATTATAATAATATCATTTTTTTTAGTAATTAGCCTCAAACTCTTTTCCAGCAAAAGATCTATTGAAGATGAAGATGAATTCCGTATCATTGAACGACTTAAGAAGCAACGTAAGCCAATACACTATCCATTACCTAAAAGTGGTTAGTTAGTGAGTAATTTGGTTGTAGTTTTGGTTGTTGTTCTTACTTGTATGTTTGTCCCCAGTTGTGCGTCACGGGAGGGAAAAAGATGCAGCTGTGCTGGCAGAAATACACAGGAAGTTGCAGTCTCAGGTTGGATTGTTTCCCTTTTTATTCTTCTTAAATTTTGATATTTTTGTTATTTTTGTTTTGATGGAACATTTGTTAGCTTTTACACATGATTGCTGCCATACGGCTCCCCTTCCCCCAACCTATCAGTTATTACAAATATCAGTTTAAATCAGCACTTCTGTTTAAATGCCATACATTTTTAATAATTATATCTATTTTACAGATGTTATTAAGGAACAGATCAGCCATACTTAAATTATTACAGCAGTTATCTTCCGTTGAAGAGAAAGGTCAAGAGGTAGAACTATCCTTTTTTATCTGTTTAGCTAATTTTAGTGATCATGAGTAAAAAGACTGAAAATTGATCTGGTTGCTACCAAAGCCATTTAAAAATATTTAATACACTTAAACATAATCACACTACTTACAAAATTTACTGTATACTTTTACATTTTTACATACATTATAACTTAATTCAGTGCCTTTGGAAACATAATATCAGTGAATATTTATTGACGAACTCTATGAAAACAAATAAATGTCTAACTAAAAGAATGCAATACTTACTTATGACCCTAGAGTCGAGTCCCAAACACAAGTTTCTTCTCCCATGGGCTCCCGTCCCACCTGGTGTCTACACCGTACGGTGCTGCAGATGTCCGGCAGGGCCATGCGCCAGGACTGACCATGTCCAGTGTGTCCAGTCACACAGTGGGCAGCAGCGGCATCAGCAGTATACAGGGGCGAGACTTTAGCAGCAGAGATCTGACGCCAGTGGCCCAGTCATTCATACCCAGGTCATTAGATGAAACAGTTTTTTAAAGACGGGTTTTGCGGTTTTCCTCCATTGCACATAAAAGTATAAAATTAAAGCTGATAAACATTTTGATTTCATATTTTTTAACCAAAGTTTTCCTTGGTTGAATACAAATATTTGATAAAATAGTATTTAAGTAAGTATAATTTCTTTTAGTAATATTTCTGTTTGTTTCAGTCATTTAGTAACTCCAGCTTTTGGATTAAACCAGCAGACATCAAATAAGCTTCGCACTGTTTCTATATTTGCTAAACAGTCCGAGAATAAAGGTCTGAATTACACTTTTTGACAAATATCTGTAATATTTTTTTCATTAGTTAGTTTTAAAAATGTAGTTTTTTAACAACTCGAAGGTGTTAAAATTTTAAATAAATCTAAGCTTTAGTTGTTAGATTTTAAAAAAAATATTTTTCTTATTGTTTTCAGAGAATGTTTTAGTGACTCACAGTGGTAATAAACATCTGTCTAAAAGATCTGCAGATAACAGTAGGTTTCAGATTTAAATACTTGACCAGAGTTATTTGTTGACACTTGGGCAGATATACCGTAACATGTTACATATTAAATGTTAAGCCTTAAGTACACGGATGTTTATGTTAGCATCAACAAACTGTTTTTTGTAAAAAAAATTTAAAAAACATCATTTGAAATATTTTTATTCCAGCATCATTTGAAATATCTGAGGAAAACCTTCTGAAAGATCTGGTCTATGTACTTCAAGGTATTCAGGGTCGTTGGGTCAAGTTTGACTCCTCAAAGGATGTTCACAAAATTGATTCTGAGGTAAATAAACTAGTGACTCTAGTTTACAAGGTGATTAGTTTCATTGACTGAATGTCATTTAGGCACTGTGTTGACTGAATGTCATTTAGGCACTGTGTTTTGACTGAATGTCATTTAGGCATTGTGTGTTGACTGAATGTCATTTAGGCATTGTGTGTTGACTGAATGTCATTTAGGCATTGTGTGTTGACTGAAGGTCATTTAGGCACTATGTGTGGACTGAATGTCATTTAGGCACTATGTGTGGACTGAATGTCATTTAGGCACTGTGTTGATTGAATGTCATTTAGGCACTGTTGACTGGATGTCATTTAGGCACTGTGTGTTGACCGGATGTCATTTAGGCACTGTGTGTTGACTTATGGATTGAATTATCTGCATGTTGCCCATCAGACTGGTGTACCAAAAGCCTGGAGACAAGAAATAGTCAAACTGTCTGAGTGTGGGTGGCTGTACCTGAAGATTAAAAACTACATTGAACAACACAGTACTGATAAAGCTTTTGGACTCATAGGACAGGTATGTTCATTGGCTTGATTAGTTCATGTGTGTTGTATGAATAGAACTTGCTATTGTCAACCAAATAAAATTGTCTTGAATAGTTCATGTGTGTTGTATGAATAGAACTTGCTATTGTCAACCAAATGAAATTGTCTTCCTGCCAGAGTTTCTGCGCTGCCCTACACCAGGAGTTGACAGAATACCTGAGGCTTATAGCAGTGCTGGAGGCTCAGGTAGATCATTTTATTTTCATTCACATGTACATTGTAGGGCAAGCTATAAACTTTATAGCTGCAGCAATAGATCATTTTACTTTCATTCACATAGACGTTGTAGAGCAAGCTATAAACTTTATAGCTGCAGCAATAGATCATTTTATTTTCATTCACATGTACATTGTAGGGCAAGCTATAAACTTTATAGCTGCAGCAATAGATCATTTTATTTTCATTCACATGTACATTGTAGGGCAAGCTATAAACTTTATAGCTGCAGCAATAGATCATTTTACTTTCATTCACATAGACGTTGTAGAGCAAGCTATAAACTTTATAGCTGCAGCAATAGATCATTTTATTTTCATTCACATGTACATTGTAGGGCAAGCTATAAACTTTATAGCTGCAGCAATAGATCATTTTACTTTCATTCACATAGACGTTGTAGAGCAAGCTATAAACTTTATAGCTGCAGCAATAGATCATTTTACTTTCATTCACATAGACGTTGTAGAGCAAGCTATAAACTTTATAGCTGCAGCAATAGATCATTTTACTTTCATTCACATAGACGTTGTAGAGCAAGCTATAAACTTTATAGCTGCAGCAATAGATCATTTTACTTTCATTCACATAGACGTTGTAGAGCAAGCTATAAACTTTATAGCTGCAGCAATAGATCATTTTACTTTCATTCACATAGACGTTGTAGAGCAAGCTATAAACTTTATAGCTGCAGCAATAGATCATTTTACTTTCATTCACATAGACGTTGTAGAGCAAGCTATAAACTTTATAGCTGCAGCAATAGATCATTTTACTTTCATTCACATAGACGTTGTAGAGCAAGATATAAACTTTATAGCTGCAGCAATAGATCATTTTACTTTCATTCACATAGACGTTGTAGAGCAAGCTATAAACTTTATAACTGCAGCAATAACAAACCCATTTTATAGTTGCAGCAATAACAAACCCATTTTATAGTTGCAGCAATAACAAACCCATTTTATAGTTGCAGCAATAACAAACCCATTTTATAGCTGCAGCAATAACAAACCTATTTTATAGTTGCAGCAATAACATAAGCTATTTTATAGTTGCAGCAATAACAAACCCATTTTATAGCTACAGTAATAACAAACCTATTTTATAGCTGCAGCAAGAATGTGACCCTGGTATCCATGAAACTTGCTCCAACTTGACCTTGGCCAGACTGAGGGTGTGGACCTTTGACCCCTTAAAGAGGTTAAAATGGTTGGCAGCCCTTGTGGACACATGTAAAGGTAGGTCAAGGTGCCCCAGTGTTTTACTGTAGTATGTAGCTCAAGGTGCCCCAGTGTTTTACTGTAGTATGTAGCTCAAGTGTTTTACATCGAAAGTTGTCTAGATCCTTACCAAACAACTGGTTTCTTTTATTAACATTTCCAACCTAGTAAACTTTGTACTAACCCGTGTATTTTGTTTCTGACGTCCAGATAAAAAAGGCGGGGCCCTGACCTCCATCATCTTCTCCTACACACACCACGGTGACCCGTCCATCAAAACCTTAATCACACACCTGTTGACCATGGTTAGCCAACCCATCTACGCCACACTGCTACGCTGGATGTATGATGGGGAGTTGGATGATGCTTATCATGAGGTGAGGTGTGATGTTGTCATGAGGTGTGGTAGATATCATGAGGTGTGGTATAATGTTGTCATGAGGTGTGGTATGATGTTGTCATCAGGTGTGGTATGATATTGTCATGAGGTGTGGTATGATGTTGTCATGAGGTGTGGTATGATGTTGTCATGAGGTGTGGTATGATGAATGATGTTGTCATGAGGTGTGGTATGATGTTGTCATGAGGTGTGGTATGATGGATGATGTTGTCATGAGGTGAGGTATGATGATGTCATGAGGTGAGGTATGATGATGTCATGAGGTGTGGTATGATGTTGTCATGAGGTGTGGTATGATGTTGTCATGAGGTGTGGTATGATGTTGTCATGAGGTGTGGTATGATGTTGTCATGAGGTGTGGTATGATGTTGTCATGAGGTGTGGTATGATGTTGTCATGAGGTGTGGTATGATGGATGATGTTGTCATGAGGTGTGGTATGATGTTGTCATGAAGTGTGGTATGATGTTTATCATGAGGTGAGGTATAATGGATATCATGAGGTGTGGTATGATGTTGTCATGAGGTGTGGTATGATGGATGATGTTGTCATGAGGTGTGGTATGATGATGTCATGAGGTGTGGTATGATGTTGTCATGAGGTGTGGTATGATGTTGTCATGAGGTGTGGTATGATGTTGTCATGAGGTGTGGTATGATGTTGTCATGAGGTGTGGTATGATGGATGATGTTGTCATGAGGTGTGGTATGATGTTGTCATGAGGTGTGGTATGATGTTGTCATGAGGTGTGGTATGATGGATGATGTTGTCATGAGGTGTGGTATGATGGATGATGTTGTCACGAGGTGTGGTATGATGTTGTCATGAGGTGTGGTATGATGTTGTCATGAGGTGTGGTATGATGTTGTCATGAGGTGTGGTATGATGTTGTCATGAGGTGTGGTATGATGTTGTCATGAGGTGTGGTATGATGTTGTCATGAGGTGTGGTATGATGGATGATGTTGTCATGAGGTGTGGTATGATGTTGTCATGAAGTGTGGTATGATGTTTATCATGAGGTGAGGTATAATGGATATCATGAGGTGTGGTATGATGTTGTCATGAGGTGTGGTATGATGGATGATGTTGTCATGAGGTGTGGTATGATGATGTCATGAGGTGTGGTATGATGTTGTCATGAGGTGTGGTATGATGTTGTCATGAGGTGTGGTATGATGTTGTCATGAGGTGTGGTATGATGTTGTCATGAGGTGTGGTATGATGGATGATGTTGTCATGAGGTGTGGTATGATGTTGTCATGAGGTGTGGTATGATGTTGTCATGAGGTGTGGTATGATGGATGATGTTGTCATGAGGTGTGGTATGATGGATGATGTTGTCACGAGGTGTGGTATGATGTTGTCATGAGGTGTGGTATGATGTTGTCATGAGGTGTGGTATGATGTTGTCATGAGGTGTGGTATGATAGATGATGTTGTCATGAGGTGTGGTATGATGTTATCATGAGGTGTGGTATGATGGATGATGCTTATCATTAGGTGAGGTATGATGGAGTGTTGAAAAAAACATTGATGTATAAAATAATGTATTTGCTGTAGGATAGCGTTTTAACTCTCTCATACTTCTGTCTTCTAGTTTTTTGTAGCGTCTGACCCAACAGTGAAGAATGAACAACTGTGGCACGACAAGTATAGCTTGAGAAAGTCAATGATTCCATCTTTTATAACCATGGACCAAGCTAGTCGGGTAAAGGCATTTTATTTCAAGCAGAAAACTTTTATTACAGCCTTTTTTTAGAAGAAACAGTTTTTTAAAAGTATAAAGTACTAGCCGTCCCGGCCAGGCCCTGCTCTGGCTTCTGTGAAAAACCTTTCTGTTAAAGACCATTACCTGTGTGTTTAGTAATCATCATAAACCCGGCATTGCCCACCCAAACCACAACCAACCAAAACCAAAACAACAAAACGCAAACATAACGCTAACACAATTACAAATACAAACGAAAACAAAAACTTAACAACAAACACAACCACACCCACAAATACCAATACAAACACAAAGAAAAAACAAACAAAAGAGCAAACGAAAACAAAAACCTAACAACAAACCCAACCACAAACACCAATACCAAAAAAAAAAAAAATCAACGAAAAAAGCAAACGAAAACAAACCAAATCCAAACGCAAAACCAACCAAAAACACAAATACAAACCCAAACAAAAAAAACACAAACAAAAACGAAAAAAGAAAGAACAAAAACGAACCAAATTAAAACGCAACCACTAACGCAAACCCACCTAAACACAAAGAAAACACTAACGCGAACATAAACGCCCGGGGCGGAATCACCTGTTTTAGCTTAATGAACGACTATAGTACCCCAACTTATTCACAGTCTTTTGCACTCACTTAAACGAACGCGCCTGTTTCAATTTAATAAACAATTTTAATACTCCAAGCTTATCCGTAAAATACCTACAACATTTGCACTTGATCAATCCCCGCTAATTATGTAATTATTTTTTTTCCCAACACCAAAACAAAGTAATTAAAAAGTAAATTATTTTCACGGAATGCAATGGTTTTATAAAGGGAAGTAATTGTGTTTTTCCTAATTTATCAAAGGGAAGTAAGTGCTATAGGACTAAATAAAGACATAATTAGAATTTTTGTAAAAGATGATATTTTTTTTAAAACTTGTGTTTAATGAACATGCCGACAATTATTACTATAATTTGAAAAATGACAATTATTTCCCAACACTTTCAATAGTAATTTTTTAGCTCATAAATTTAGACAAATGCGCACGATAATTTTCTAACACTTAAATTCGTACAATTCCAACGACATACAAATGCATTACATACAGAACTGAGCTTTATATATTAGATAATCAATAATTTAAAGATACAAAGTATAAGACATTTTTTAAAACTGTAATCACTTAACTATCTAACCTATCCTTATTTAGTTTTTAAGAAGTCCAAATGTGAACAAACTGTTTACAACAAATACTTTTTTTTACTGACAAGTAATAGTTTTTTTCATTTTTGTAGATCCTTCTTACTGGCAAGTCTATAAACTTCCTTCGGCAAGTGTGTGAAGACAGAACCCCCACACAAGGCAGGGAGGTGGCGATGAATTTAGATCTTACCCAAGGTCAGCCCCATTTTTTAATCAGTCTGTTTCATTAGCATACAATTTAAATTGCTGACCATATTAACCTTGAATAAATTAACCCTAAATATTTTACCTTCAACTAGCCACAACTTGCAACCTTTAAGATGATCACTCATACATCACTAACCACTAGTCTTATCAGCTCCACTTAAAACATTAACCCCTAATGTTTTCTCAAGTAGAACTCCACCGCCTAGATAATTAACCCTTTTCCCTTCATCAGCTGCAAGCATGTTATGTTAACCCTTTTCCCTCCATCTGCTGCAAGCATATGTTAACCCTTTTCCCTCCATCAGCTGCAAGCATATGTTAACCCTTTTCCCTCCATCAGCTGCAAGCATATGTTAACCCTTTTCCCTCCATCAGTTGCAAGCATGTTATGTTAACCCTTTTCCCTCCATCAGCTGCAAGCATGTTATGTTAACCCTTTTCCCTCCATCAGCTGCAAGCATGTTATGTTAACCCTTTTCCCTCCATCAGCTGCAAGCATGTTATGTTAACCCTTTTCTCTCCATCAGCTGCAAGCATGTTATGTTAACCCTTTTCCCTCCATCAGCTGCAAGCATGTTATGTTAACCCTTTTCCCTCCATCAGCTGCAAGCATGTTATGTTAACCCTTTTCCCTCCATCAGCTGCAAGCATGTTATGTTAACCCTTTTCCATCCATCAACTGCAAGCATGTTATGTTAACCCTTTTCCCTCCATCAGCTGCAAGCATGTTCTCGCAGGACCAAAACTCAGACTTCCAGAAGATGTTGGACTCTGTGTACGAGCTAACGTCACAGCATCTCTTAGACGTGTTGCAGACCAAGTATAAATTCCTGGAGCACCTCAAGGTGGGTCTCATGTTCAGTTCACAGACTTCTTAATATTAACCCATTACAACCTAACTTTACTTCATGTGTTAGCACAGTTTGTTGGTTAAAGTAATGAAACTTGTACAGATTTTGTTGGATGTTGGTGTTCAACTAATGCTAGCAGTTAGGCAGCTTCAGCATTGTGTTTATGACTTGCAGGGAGGTTGACTTCTGGGTTGTTGGTTACTTTTTCAATTGTTTTCACATTACAACAGAAAGGTCTTGAGTTGTTGTTTATTTTTCTTACTATAGTTAAATTTTTTTTTTAACTCAAAAAAAAAAACCTTGTCTAATCTCAGAAACCATTTTTCTGACATAGAAAATGATATTTTTGCTTTTCTTTTTCTGTCTTAGTATTTTTTCTGAAACCCTCTATATGATACATCATGAACAGTTGTTCCATTGAAGTACATCAACTGTTGCTAATGTAAACAATTGTTTCTGTTGCTAGGCCATGCGAAGATACTTGCTGCTGGGGCAGGGAGATTTCATTCGTCACCTCATGGATCTGCTAGAGTAAGTCACAAACTTACAAACACATAAATGTGCAATCAATACAGGTCAACGTATGGGGATGAAGCCTTTTTATTTTTTATTTATTTAAAATGTGTGTCCTTATATCATATTAATTATAAATTAGATAATAATGTGAACTTGTTTTCTTTACTGGATTGATCCTGTTTGTGTTTGTAAACAAAGTTGACATAGCCAACCAACACTTGAAGACTTGAACTAACACTTGAATTTGTTATCTAGAGAAGACTTGGCCAAACCTGCCAGCAACCTGTACCTGCACAATTTGACTGGAATTCTTGAAACTGCCATCCGTGCCACAAATGCCCAGTTTGATAACGGAGATATTTTGAAGAGGTTGGACGTCCGGTTACTGGACGTGTCCCCAGGGGACACTGGATGGGACGTCTTCAGTCTGGAGTACCGTGTGGATGGGCCTATTAGAACTGTGAGTTACAATTTGAATGCATTCACATCCATCTGTAAATAACATTCAACTATTTTGAATTTCTTGTTCATTTTAATGGTTTAGAAATCATTAACCCTTAAATTTGGTCAGTTGCCACACACAGCTTATTCTTCTTTTCATACAGTACTTAAAACTTAAACTTGCTATTATGTATGGCAGATAACTTGTCTATATTTCGCCATGATTCTAATGTTGTTACACTGTTTAGGTGTTCACCCCTGAATGTAAGATCATCTACCTGCGTGTCTTTAACTTTATGTGGCGGGCCAAACGCATGGAGTACGTACTTGCCCAGATCTGGAAAAACCAGATGTGCAGCGCCAGACAGCTCAAGGCCATACCTGAACTGTCCCCAATCCTACACACCTGTCACATGATCACCACTAACATGGTCCACTTCATCAAGCAAGTCCAGTACTACATCAACTTTGAGGTAAGGTCCAGTACTACATCAACTTTGAGGTAAGGTCCAGTACTACATCAACTTTGAGGTAAGATCCTGTACTACATCAACTCAGGTAAGGTCCAGTAATCCATCAGGTTTGCAGTAAGGTCTGATAAGACATCAACTAAGGTATGATCCTCTACTACAACATTCACTATTACTACATTGTCAGTGCTACACAACTGAGAAGGTAACGTACATGTAATAATTTTGTCAGTCTGACACCTACAGAGCACCTGATGACAATTACACCTGACAGAATGTACCTAGCATCTTGTTTCTGGCAGGTGTTGGAGTGTGCGTGGGATGACCTGCTGACCAAAGTTCATGAAGCCAAAGACCTGGATTACATCATCGCGGCTCACCAAGTTTTCCTAGACACCATCCTCAGTAGATGTTTGCTCAACGACAAGTCTAGGGTAAACATTTCCCCCTGTTGGCTACAATCTACGCCAAGCTACACTTTCCCAAACATAATTCTCTACAATCTATGCCCAGACACACTTTCCCAAACATGATTCTCTACAATCTATGCCAAGCTACACTTTTCCAAACATGATTCTCTACAATCTATGCCAAGCCACACTTTCCCAAACTGAGTCTGGTAACCATCAGAGCTTGGTGGACTCTAGTTTGCCTTTCAGTTTTTTGTCCCCTCTAAAATAATGCATTGAATGAGTCATGTTTTGTTTTGTCAGTTTTTATTGTGCCAAGTTTTGCTGTGTCAGGTTGTGTCAAGTTTTACTGTGTCAGGTTGTGTCAAGCTTTCCTGTGTCAGGTTGTGTCAAGTTTTGCTGTGTCAAGTTTTGCTGTGTCAGGTTGTGCCAAGTTTTGTTGTGTCAGCTCGTTTCAGTTTTTGTTGTGCCAAGTTTTGCTGTGTCAGGCTGTGTCAAGTTTTGCTGTGTCAGGTTGTGTCAAGTTTTGCTGTGTCAGGTTGTGTCAAGTTTTCCTGTGTCAGGTTGTGTCAAGTTTTGCTGTGTCAGGTTGTGTCAAGTTTCACTGTCAGGTTGTGTCAAGTTTCACTGTCAGGTTGTGTCAAGTTTTCCTGTGTCAGGTTGTGTTAAGTTTCACTGTGTCAGGTTGTGTCAAGTTTTACTGTGTCAGGTTGTGTCACATTTTCCTGTGTCAGGTTTTACTGTGTCAGGTTGTGTCAAGTTTTACTGTGTCAGGTTGTGTCAAGTTTTACTGTGTCAGGTTGTGTCAAGTTTTCCCGTGTCAGATTGTGTCAAGTTTTACCGTGTCCGCTTGTGTCACTTTTCCCCGTGTCCCCCCAGGATATCCTCCAGCTGCTGAGGACCCTGTTTGACCTCATCATCCAGTTTGAGAGTGCTCAGCTCTTGTTCTACGAGTCAGCAACCAGTGAAGTCCTAACCAGAGAAGTTTTTGAAAAGGCCAAGAAAGAGAGAGGTCTAAAGGTAAAATTGAACTTCTGTATCTAACAGTTTAAATAGCCAACATTTGGGCTGTCTTTATAGAGGCAAGCAACTGAAATCTGACAGGCTTGCTAAGAGTGGCCAGATCATTTTTAGTAACATACCAAAAAAAAAAAAGTTTTCCTACATAGATATTGAAATTAAAAGCTTTTTTGTTTTAGAAATGTTAATTATAGATGTGCAAAAGTAAAGTTTACAAGCAATATTCTTACTTTGTGATGCTACATTTTGTATACATATGAGCATCTCCAACAAGTTACCTAGACCAGTCATGGCTGTATTAATTTTGTGAACCTGATCTTTTCTGCTCATTTAGTGTTGTCTCACTTCTGTTTTTAAACCATGATTTAATTATTCCCACAGTACAGTATTTGCTTGTAATGGTTTTAGGGTGACTGGGAGCTGACAGAAGAGAAAGAGAAGGAGGAGAGAAATAGAAGAAATATTTTCTTGACATCCATCATCCCATCCACTAGAGCCAAGCTACAGGTTCTATCTACAGCCTACCAGGTCTGTGTTGGTCTCACCAGTTTTGTTTGCCACTTCTATGTCTTTTAAGTATGTGTGCCTAATCTTATGTGCTAATTCCCATTTTTGAAATATTTTTCCCTTCAGGACACAGTTGAACAGTTCTTGAAGATGGTAGCCTCACACCCAGATGCAAGCCTCAGATTTCTCTGTTTCCGCCTTGACTTCAATGAACATTACAAAGTTCGTGAGCCTCGAGGCAGATTATCCTACTTGCGAGCCAAGTAGTTTATTTAAACACCTGTCAAGAACTTGTGTGCCTCATGTACATAAAAAACAGCATTGTAAAAGTGATCAATATTTTGTCTGACAACAATAACCTTCAGACCAAATAAATGTTTTGTATAAAGCCATATGCTACTTGTATGTAAGTAGTTTTTTGTTTTAAAAAATGTAAATGAATTAACATTGTATATTATATTTTGAATAAACTTGTAGATTAGAATTGTACATTCAACTAGTTTGTATATTTAGTGGGGAGAGGTTTGCTGCCATTTTTCTGGCCTACCTGTCTCAAGTGATGAGATAGCTCTAGGAGAGACAGGTGTGCCAGCTAACTCCCCACTCAGCTATTTGTGAGGCAGTGCTAGTCTACTTTTACACAGAATGTTCTAGTTTGGTTTAGATGTTCAGCAATCGTTGGTTTAATAATGTAGATGTGAAGTGGTTCTACTTCATAGTAAGTAAATTTCTTCAAGAGTCCATTATAAAAGTTGCTCCCCTCCCAACATCGCAAGACCAGTTGTGCTTTGGAATATTTATCTGTGCTTGTCCACCATACACTAAAATGTAACCTCTGCAACTAAGTTCTTAAGGCAGATACCCATCAGTTGGGTGGGTTAAAAGAACAAGTGTCCCTCACTCATCCAAACCACCCTATATCTGCCAACGGTCAATCTAAAACTAGTTCAGTCAGGCTTTGTTGACCTAAATTTAATATAAAAGATTTGCCAAACATCATACATATTTTGAGAAAAAAATTTATTTAGCAATTCATAATGAGCTAGTACTACATTTGTATACACTACAAGAACATGTGGCCAGATACACATGGCCATCATACACACACAACTGCTTAAAATGTCTGCTGATTACACAATTGTACTAGATGCATTACATGTCATTCAGTCAAGTCTGACTTGAGGAAATGCTCAGCATTATGGGTAAGATTGGGCTACACAAAGACCACTATTTACAAAACATGGAGAAACTTCAATGTGTAAACTAATAAAATCAGTAGAAATTTTTCTTCATTGCTTATAATAACAGTTACAAAATAGAATTTGATAGTAATCACAAAATAATTTCTTCAAAAAATAGGTCTAGTTATATTTTGTAAATATTGGTGCTCACTATAGGGCTAAAATGTACAGATGATAAAAAGTGTGTAGTAAGATCAATACAAGGTTATGAATGAATATAATGCTTCAGCCTTTGAGATTTAGAAACTCATGCCCTATATGAGGTGCCAAAACATGGCAGGTTACACTGTTAGGCTACTTCAAGGTGTTATGTCTTGGGATACAAGTATTACTTTTTGTAGCCTATAACATTGCTGTGTAGACAGGCATTTTGCTATAGTGAAGGTAAGTCTAGTTACATTTTATAACAAAATCTTCACCACACAAAATACTTGGATGCTTAAAAAACAATGTCCAGTTAACTAAACCTTAACCCCAATAATTGTCTATCACAGCACTTTCAGTTCATCACATTATATTCACAACCAAAAAAAAAACCCAATGTCAAGGCCTCTGTATACTAATATCTGCTAATAATTGTCAGGAGAGAGGTAACAGTGCAATATTTTCCTACATGGGGCACCACAGTACAAGCAGGCAGATATTTGAGTGCTGATTAAATGGGCTGGTTATTATAGATCTGGTTTAAACAAAATCACACAGACTAGGCAAATCAATGGAGGTGGTGGTCATAGCTACTCACTCCACTGATGGCTGCAGCTAGCTTAAGTACAAAGGCTGCAGTGTTAGTTGTGGATGGTTACTGCAGCAAATACAAGCAGGTTAATACTTGGGGTACATCTTGATACAAATCTGAATACACAACTCATGTCACACATGGAAGGAGAAGGAAAGTGACTAGTAGAAACAGCTGACAAGATAGACTGATGTTAAGACACTACTACAATGTTATTTCCCCTACCCTAGACTCAGATACAGAGAATCTGTCCAAATAGGTACGTCATTGTTCGATACGTCATTGTTCAGTCAAGTACAACTTGCAGTTGACATGCTACATATCCTAGGCACTCTACACTAGTATCCTAGGAAACCACAGAACAAGAATCTTTTTCTTTAGACACCTGTGGTTCACTAATTAGACTGCCAACATAATCATAATAGTGAGTAAACCCCAACAGCTTGCAAAAAGTATGGGAATCTTAAGATTTGACATTTTATGCACAACAAAAATAACATGATAGCAACATAATGAATTGCACTATAAAAGGGGACTTAAGACAATGTATTGATAACACTCATTCATGCCACCAAAATATGTTGACAATTTAAAGCAGACATGCTCATGTTACCAAAACCAAATTCTTCAATCAATGTTACATTGATCCAAATACTCAAGATCTTAACTAGGTATGGCAACAAGTGAGAGAACAACAATCAACATTGGAAATATTTCGATCATTATATATCACCATCAAATATGAGCTTAAGATTAATTCACATTTCTTAAAAATGTATGAGCCTGTTTAGTTTATAACTACATTTAGTTTAGCATTATTTTAACTAGCAGATGTGTTGTCCCATAATACTGTCAGCTAACAGAATACTGCAAAAACTATAATTTTAAAATGAAACACTGTAATTATTAAATATCAAATGAGTGAAAATTAGTCTTTCTCAGCTTTAAATGGTAATGAAATATGAATTTTAAGTTGAATAGAAATACCATCACTAATTTTTTAAAAAAAAAATGCAGTTGATGCAGACAAAAAAATTTCCCTACTTTCACTTTCTGCCAAAACCAGCCAACCATTAGTAAGTCTATAGTAGAATAAATAAGCAATGAAATTCACCCTCAGCCATGCTCACACACACATACAGACAGACAAAAACATCACCCTGAAGGGATCTGTAGATCCAGTTGTACATGGAGCTCCAGGTTTCCACAGCTGATGTCTCATGCCTGTAGATACATTCTTCACATGCATGCATTTAGCACTCACATTATGTTACTGGAAAAGGAGAGAAATAAATATTGGTTAGTGTCAATCAGGAAAAACTACTCACACATTTTTACAAGCATCATCATGGTCTGTGAAATGTTCCCCCCTATAGTTAAAAACTGGCCACCACTAAGATTAGTTCCAGAAGCAGCACTGAAACAACTGGCACAAAGGAAAACCTCAAGCAAAAGCTGTCAAACCAAGCAGGAGACATGGTGTCTCAAAAGGTTACAACACTCTGGTAGATTCACTCCACTCCAGTGCCAGACTATTTTACTCAGCAGAGATCTACATACAATAACTTATCAAACATCTTTAAATGACATCTCATTATCAAGCTAGACATTCACTTTATAAATACTATATACATATTACACTCAGATGTACATTCACTGATGGAAAAGACAAATCACAGAATCAATGCTACAGTGGTACTTGTGATTACAACTTTATAGAGATAAATGGTTCAAACTTTTTCTCTATTGTACAGTCTTAAGGTCAGTGAAGAAATAAAGTTTCTACTGTGAACTGGGGGTAAAATCAGGTTATTTTTTGGGTGGTGGTAGCCTTACACCAAAACGAGCAAACATTTCTTCCCTATTAGTGGCTGGAGAAGTGGGACCTGCAGCTGGTGTGGGGGATGCTGGTCCAGGTGCTGGCTTGGAGGCTGGAGCCACACCAGAGCTAGGAGATGTAGGACTCTTAGGGCCTACACCTACAGCTGGTTTAGCTGCTGGAGCTTTAGGCGATTCAAATCTGGCAGCTAACTGCCCTAAAGCACCAGATTTGGGCCCTGACACTCCTGGGGATGTTGGTGCAGGCTTTTCAAATCTTGCTGCCTGGCTGGCAATTAATGATTTGGGAGGGGCATCTGATGGTGACATGGGCTTTGGAGGTACAGATGGTGGTACTTTGGTTGATGGTGATGTAGGGGAGAAGCCAGGGGCTATAGATGAAGTTTTTGGGGATGGAGAGGAAGGCTGATTAACTTGTTCCTTGAATGAAAAAGGTGTGGGCTTATGTTTAGGGATTTCTGATGGGGCTGGCTTGGGAGCTGGGCTAGGTGGGGCTACAGCTTCAGGCTTGGGAGCTGGGCTAGGTGGGGCCACAGCTTCAGGCTTGGGAGCCGGGCTAGGTGGGGCCACAGCTTCAGGCTTGGGAGCCGGGCTAGGTGGGGCCACAGCTTCAGGCTTGGGAGCTGGGCTAGGTGGGGCCACAGCTTCAGGCTTGGGAGCTGGGCTAGGTGGGGCTACAGCTTCAGGCTTGGGAGCCGGGCTAGGTGGGGCCACAGTTTCAGGTTTGGGAGGTGGGGCTACAGCTTCAGGCTTGGGAGCTGGGCTAGGTGGGGCTACAGCTTCAGGCTTGGGAGCTGGGCTAGGTGGGGCTACAGCTTCAGGCTTGGGAGCTGGGCTAGGTGGGGCTACAGCTTCAGGCTTGGGAGCCGGGCTAGGTGGGGCCACAGCTTCAGGCTTGGGAGCCGGGCTAGGTGGGGCTACAGCTTCAGGCTTGGGAGCCGGGCTAGGTGGGGCTACAGCTTCAGGCTTGGGAGCCGGGCTAGGTGGGGCTATAACTTCTGGCTGGCTTAGCGGGGGACCAGCGGTAAGTTGGGTTATTTCTTGTTTAGGGGATGAAATTAAAGGGCTAGAAAGAGCAGTTTCAATAATTTCACTAGCAAGACTTGAAGCTACTTGAGGAAGACTGACAGTCTCCACGACTGCCTCCTCTGGGCTAGAGGCTTCTAACTGAAATGAAGCTGCAATGACAGCAGGTTCACTAGATGCAGCAGAGTCTTGAGCTAGCACAATTGTAGCCTGGTCCTCAGATGAGGCCAGGGCAGGTGTTGTGACACTACCAGCACTAGCCACAGCATCCCCCTCATCAGCCACAGAATCAACTACAAGACTATCAGCAGACAGGACCACACTGGTCTGGGGCTCTACTGGTGCTGCCCTCACATCCTGGGCAATGCTTACCTTGGGCTCTTCATGAGTCTCTCCAGCCAGTTTTGTGTCTGATGGAGGTTTGGACATTTTCTCATCCAACCTAGCCTTTATGTTGTCAAACCTGTCCACACCCATGTAGTCTGCCTGTCCTTGTTCCCACTGGAGCTTGCGTTCACGATCATCCTTCTTGGCTGAGCCTTCACCTTGTAATGTCATGCTGGCCAAATCACCAACTAATCCTCCCTAAATAGACATGGAAAATTAAGCAGGTCACATGACAAGAGTCATCCAACTAAAATTTAGTACTAGTGGGTTAATACAAATAAAAAAATTACACAACTATTTGATGGATTCCCTAAACCATCCATGCCAATACACAGGTTTTACAAAAGAATAAGGTTTTTTTATGGGAAAATTTCATCTGTGGTTAAATAATCAGACAAGTAATGCAATTTAACATTGTTACACTGTCAGCATGAATGTTTTTAACTTGTTCGCAGCTCATTTCTTAAAAACACTTGTTCTTTTTTAACATATAGAGTTGGGCAAAGATTTCTAGCAGCAAGGTAGTTCAGGGGAGGGGTGTGTGTGTGTGAGGTGGAGTGTAATACAAGAGCAAGTTAGCTTACACATACATCAATTTGACTAGAAAATATAACAAAGTACATAGTAAATATACATCAACATATTTGTTAATTTTTAACACTTTTGATCTAGCAACTCATCAACCTAAATAAAATGTGCAGCTTTAAAAAATATGTTTGAAACCAGATGCAGACAGATTCATGCTATAAAAATCAATGGATCAGATATGTATAGGCTACAACATTAAGTTAAGCTACACAATATTGATCTTACTAACTCAATGGAATGCATCACCAACTAGTTGCTTCAATTGGGTTTTTTTTTCTCAGCTTCTAATGTGTAGCAGTATGTGTATTTCAACTATTTGTGTACAAATTGTTGGGCTAAGTCTGGTTACAAAAGTGATAGCAGATAAAACAGTGAGCAGAAATAGCACAGACCCCCCCCCCCCCCCCCTTTTCAGCAGTATTTACCTGAGCCTTACATTTTCCTCTTACCATCACTTTGGTGTACAGCCAAGTTTATGCAATCATTTTTTTTTTACTCTTGGAATAAGATCTTTCTAGAATTGCAGACAACACAATAGCAGCACAACAAGTAGTCACGTGATTACACAAGGGAAACAACATGCAGTAAACACATTTCATCAAGTCTCTAGGACCAGTGTAAGTCTCAGACTTACCTATAACACTCAGTGAAGTCAAAATTTGAGCCATGATCATGTGTGCTACTATACTTGTGCAGTGGTTCCATTACATACAGAGAGTGAACCATCTCCCCTATAGCACTATTAATTGACCGTAGCTCACCTGCATACATCCAGATGATAAGTGCCCACTCAGACATGTAACAAAGCAAACAGACTAAAGCATGCAAACATCCAGTCACGTGACCTTTAAACTAAATGTGCCTCTAGTGCCCAGCTTGAGTACAACACGAAGAAAAAAGCTTACAAAACTCCCACAGGCTGGCTTGGGACAAAAACATTGGAATCACAGGTTAGGTTTGGGTTTAAACACAACTCAGTGGGGTCAACTATAGAGACTAGATAAGTGGGGTCTACCGTGTCTACAGACTAGATACTGTACTCAGGTCCACTTGTACAAGATGTTCATACACAAATGTTTCCAGACCAACACATGTGATACTGGTTTCATGTCTGTGACGTCATCCTAAGGTCAAACAACCAAGCTGCTTGACACCGGGTCAACCTGGATGTTCTTCCAACAAGTGATTCACGAAATAGGAGATGGGGCCATTGAAATACAAGTCAGCTCAGGCCAAGTGGGTTAGTGGGTTGTTTATATGCAGTGCACGAAGTTTACAGTGGGGCAAGTTGTCAGCAGAGACAAACACTATTAAATGCCAGTCCGTGGCTGCGACACGTTACCAGTAGACCCGAGTGGACGGCATGTACAACATTCCGATAGTAACTAACAGCTACACACTAACCTGTTGCGTCATGGTCTACTGATGGCTGCACGCGGACAACAAGAAAACAATGAAAGGCACGAGGCGGACGGGATAGGTGTGTTGTTGGACATGCAGCCAGATAGCGGGCTAACGAGGTCACAGTACACAACCAGGACAGGAAGTTGTACTTTCACTTTCATCATGGGCCCAACAATCATGACTGGACTATATTAGTCAGGTACCTCGACGCTTCATGGTCCAGTCGGCGTCTACTGGCACATCAGTCGCCTGTCTATGTACTGATCGTTCAAAAGAAACAAAGCTAAATTTAAATCAGGGGTTCCCAACCCCGTGCCCGCGGGCGCTATGGCGCCCGCCGAACGATTCGTATGTGCCCGCCTCTCAATATTCGACAGAGACAGAATTGTATTTCATAAACATTATTGAAAGGTTAAAGGCGATGGAAATCGAAAGTTTGAGGGGGGTGCAAATCAAAAATTTGAGGGGGGGTGCAAATCGAAAATTTGAGGGGGGGGGGGTGCAAATCGAAATTTTGTCCCCGGGTGATGGTTAGGGTCGCTACGCCTCTGGAAGGAGTTTGTCGATTTAAAATAGGTGGTGCCCGCCACCCTACCGATATTTTAGAATGTGCTCTAGAGTAAAAAAAGGTTGGGAACCCCTGATTTAAATCAATAGCCACACAGAGTGGCCAAAGTAGCGGTCTCCCACAACTAAACCATCACTAGACCAATATTCATCTGACAGCTGTTGTGGGTCTCTAATAAATCTATAGTGGTCCATGCAAATCTACACGGCGCTTCAGTCCAACAGAGGCTGTCCGACCGTGACCTCATGCCCCCAGCACATCAAGGTCAACCCTGGAGCACACTAATACCAGCCAACACTTCTTGGCTCTATACAACCAGTCAATCAACTTGTGATAAAGAAATCACATTCAGAGTTTCAACCAAGGGAACAAAACACGCCACACTAACTTCATTTACTAGCCGTGTGTTGTTACAGCAATAGTGACTAGCTCAGTCTGACATTCCAATGACACAACGATACGACTGTGTAAGAAATTACTTTAAAAAACATTAAAGTGGGTAGGGGCTAACAGTGTGTGCCCCACACAACTAGACAATGTAGCATAGTTTTATGCCCCACACAACTAGACAACAATGTAGCATAGTTGTATGCCCCACACAACTAGGTCTACTCACTAATCTTTTCACGCTGACAGCGCCAAAAAATTAACCCCCCCATCCCCCCCAACACACTGGAATGTGGTACGGGGCAGTTAAAAGTGGCGGTAAAAAAAATAACCTACACCAGAGCTAAGCTACCCTTGACCTTTACGCTATCAGACGATTTTATTATGAGTCCCAGGACTTTATTAATGAAAGCTGTTTTATAAATAGAAGACAAGAGTTTGTGGCCAGGAGATGAGGTTTACATAGCCGAGTTGAGAAAATGCTGATGTGACAAAGTGTCAAATGTCACAACAGCGACGCAATCATAGCACCCCCCCCCCCCCCACCCAACCACTTACATGCATATTGTTAGCTGTGTACTGAACAGATTTAATACAAAACAAATATTCCCAGTAACACATTTCATACGAGTGATAGCCAAAGTACTTAGATAAGAGCAACCCCCCTCCCTCCTTTCAAGGCCAGTTACATTAAAGACTATCAAGCTGGCCAATGTAAGCAGTTTCTTCCAGGCGAACCCCCCCCCCCCCCCCCCCCCCCACGAAATGAATGTTATATAATTTATATAGAAAATATATACTTTTAATAGTGTCGTCGTCCCCGTCCCCCCCCCCCCCCCGAAGAAAGTCTACCGCCACCCCCACCCCCCCCCCCCGAAAATTTCAAGTGCCCCCCCCCCCCGAGAAAAAAGTCTGGAAGAAACACTGAATATAAGGTACCCAGTCAGTGATAGTAGCAATTGATGGCAGATAAAAACACTGGCCCAAACATATTGATAATAGTAGCAACTGGTTTCTAAACTATGAAGGAAAATAAAAGTTTGTAAAAAGACAAATTTTTAAACAATTCGTGTTTAATCATGGTACGAGTTTACTTCCATCATGTTTGCAGCTGGTATAACCTAAGTTTAACTGGCTTTGGTAACGACTGATACAAGGGACCATTTAATGCTAGTGAATTGATCCATTGGTTTTTCATTTATAAACAAACAGGAAATTATAATGGCGTTTAAATTACACTGAGATTTGTTTTTCTTTTAAAAATTGTGGTTGTAGGCTTACATTATTAATTATGTATACAAACAAGAAACGGGTTATAAAACTATGTTAAGTAGAAGGGGAAAAAACATGAATAGGCTATTCGAACATGTGCCAAGGCAGTTCTAGATCTCAATCTACTAGTGACAACACACGTCTACCACCACAGTTATAAGGAACGAACGTGGCACGCTAGTCAAGGTGAAGACCGTAACCCCGCCAGGTCATGGTCGTTCCAGTCACAAGTTCACCACTGCCGGCATGCTGTACCAACACAATATTCATTCGCTAACATTCACGTGTTTTAAATGGGGGAGACAAAAGGGCAAGGGGGGGAGGGGTTAAAGGGCAAGTGGGAGAAGAAATAAAGACACGCAGGACAAGGCGGGAAATTTTAAATGTTATACGATACACACGATATCCAACCTGACCTTGTTTGGTATGTGGAACTGTTTAACCCCCCCCCCCCCCCCCCACCCACCGTTACTGGGGAATTAACAACCCAAGTTTATGTCGAATGTTCTCTGTAGCATCACCAGGAAGAGTTAGCCACGACTAAATTTATTTAAGACAACACATGACTAAGTAGAAAGCAAGCTCCGGATACAGATAGGACAAGCACTTGAAACTAGAGTTGTCATTACATTATCCCCACACATCTAAGGCGTGTGTTCGGCCAAAGATATCAAGCTATAGAGGGTAGACTTGGGTCTACATGAAGATTGGCCGTTTCTTTAATACAACTAGTTAGGTTTTCTAGGTTTAATCACTGTATACGACATGAGGAGTCACAAGATCCAATCTCCGTGTGTTACGCAATGTTTCAACCTCCTTTAATTTTAAGCCGGTACCTTCAATGGACAACCATAAAAAAATTACCTTTTGTGTGCCATCTTTGGAATGTCTTATGTCTTCAATACTTCCAGTATCGCCATCACCGCAATTTTCCGTAACCTCACATGTGGGTACAGTGTTAATATCCGTGGAACCATCGTTAACGTTACAGTCTAAACCGGGCTCATCCGCCGGACTTTTTGCTCCAGCTAGTAGCTGTTGGACCAGGCCTGGAGTTAAGGTTTCTGTGGCCGAGTAATATTCGGCTTGGGGCAACTCGGGGTTGATTGCACTCAAAGGCTCCTCGCTATAGTGGGTCTCTAGAGTCTTGTAATCTCTGTATACCACAGGGACGTCCACAACCTGAGAACCGCTCTCCTGAGCGTCAATGTCCGCCTCAAGGCTGGGCGGGACATAGGGGAACAAAACTGTGTACGAGGTGGTGGGGGACCCTCGGGTCTCGCTGTGGCCGTGTTGGCCGGCCTGCTGGCGCTGGTCACGGGGGAAATAGGGCAAGTCTCCATCACACAGCTGGTTGGGTTGGGACGGCTGGGGACGGCTGGTCTGCAAGACATCACAAGCGGGGTTAAGCCGTTCAATCGTTAGTGTTACAACAAGCATGGGGAGATCAGCAATCCAGTCTTATGCCAGTAGTAGCACGGTGCCGTCACCAGGAGGGGGTGGGTCCATAACGCTTGTCCCTCGGCTCCTCTATTGCTAACAGTGGGCCAGTTAAGCTCAGTAATAGCTAGCTCTATGGATGCTCTATTTGCTAACAGTGGGCCAGTTAAGCTCAGTAATAGCTAGCTCTATGGATGCTCTATTTGCTAACAGTGGGCCAGTTAAGCTCAGTAATAGCTAGCTCTATGGATGCTCTATTTGCTAACAGTGGGCCAGTTAAGCTCAGTAATAGCTAGCTCTATGGATGCTCAAGTAATCGACACAAAGAAAGAGCCTAGTCTAGAGCATGACATGCAAATAGGCACACATCTAGTCAAACTAAATACATAGATCTATGTCTGGGTTAAGTGTACCGACACTAACACACATACATCAACATTTTTAGCTCTAGTGAGCAGCATAGCTACACATATCCGGACTACTCAAGGGTATTAACATCACGGTGCCATATGATGGATCAAAACAAACTTCCACACGGCGCCCATAGATAGTCATATATTCAATTCTACACAGTGTCAATAGGTAACTGTATAGAAACCATTCGCAAAGTACAAATATATCTAAACAAGTTAAAACCGTTCAAATTACGACACTTTTCCGTAGGACACTGATGAGGAAAGTAAGTAAAAAAAAAACACTTTCCTACGCCATAAATCTTTCAAGTATTTCCCATGCTGATATATTAAAGCTTTAAAACCGTTAACAAGAATAATTCATAGAATATTTGATAGTAAAGCTATTAGAAGCACCAAAAATAAAACTTAAATATATCTTTACAAAGTAGGCCTATAACGGAAAGACCAATTAAAATAGCTTGCTGCCCAGTTTGATTTAATGACAGTTTTCTCTCTAGTTGTTAGTCCATTTAAAAACCTATTCACAAAAAAAAAAAAACCTATTCTATAGGGTTATTAGCTTTTTTTTAAAACTGTTGTACTGTACCAAGCTGGGAATTGTTAAAATGTAGTGAAGTTAAAAAAATTATATAAATCTAGTACTTCGTGTATTTTCATTCACATCATCCTTAAAGTCTATCCCAACACAACTAAAACTATTGCTTTTAAAACAGTTCAGCTGCTTGAAATATATCAATGGCAATCATCTGCCTCCCCCCCCCCCTTCCCCCCCTACCGGTGTCTATTAACTCTAGACTTGCTAACCAATATTTGCTAACCAATATTCGCAAACACTATACCTGACCAATCACAACATCATGCTTTATTTCCTTTGTTATAGAACATAGTAAACTGTTTAATTTCAATGACTAATATCCAAAGATCCACCCCCAGACTAGAACAATTATCCCCTGTCAGAAACTAGATAAATAGCCAGTCAAGTTTCTGACAATAACTTTAAGGTATATGTTAAGTAGAAATGACTTTTCAAGTAAAGGTTACTATTAATAAGATTGAAATGTGAAATTAAAAATTGGGAACATTTTCATTAACTGGAAATAAAATATTTCTTTTTGAAAGAAAAATGTTTCATCTTTGAATATCTATCCAGATTGAAAAAGATATTTCCTTGTGTTGTCAAATATGCATTTATCTAGAATGTGAAAATAATTAGCTCCATTAGAAAGGGTACAGTTAGTGTTCCAAGAACTGACCAAAAACCCACCCAACCACATAGTCAATTTAAGAAAAGCTGAGAGTTGAGGATAGTTGAAAGATTAGAAAAGAAACTTCAGCCTTACAAGAGCCTAACAGCTTTGTGTAAGTCTAGACACATGATGAAGGAGAAACAATCATGTATTCATCTATGATCAAGTGAATTAGTGAGAGCTATCATTGATCAACAGGCTGCATAGCTAGCTCTATCCATTTTATCTAGTTGTAGCTAGATACTCCATGGATTTCAGCTGCTTCTATTGTAACAGAAGTTTATCAAGCCAAATGTACTTGCAGACATGTGTCTTTAAACAACTAGTTTGTGCCCTTGGTGTCCTTTGTAGACACCAAAGGCCATAAATATAGCAGTTACAAACACCAAATAACACTGACACATCTAATGAGCTGTAAAAACAAAATGACTACACTAAGCTACAACCAAACCAAAACTTTAAAAAGCTACACCAATAAAAGCAGGACCATGTTACAGTTAGCTCCCATAGACTGGGCTCACAGCATCAGTTACCATCCCAGCAGTATTTGAGTGAGGGAGGCTCCTAGTACTAGCTTAATTAACCACTGATAAGCAAATGTGGAGTTTGACATTTACAGTACAGCCGAGGGATAAGCGTTTACCATGGATGAGTCTCACAAGGTTTGCTCTAAATGATGCCAAATTGTAATATTACTTTCATCTTATTTTTTAAAAATCTTTAACAATATCATGTGCAAGAGTATACTATGAAGGCTGTACAGAATACATGATCCCTACCCCAGTTATTGATATATAGAAGACAACTACAATTAGCGAAGCATTATGATGAAGCAATGGTTAGAACACAAATGATGGCAAGTAAACAAGGATTTAAGGGCAAGAAGTAAACATTTCTCATCATCATTAAACATCTTCAGCATGATGAGATATGATACACTCAAACATTTAACATATGGTTTGAGAATTGTTTACTTTTTACATAATGGTGCAACAAAAAAAGTTCAAGCAAATGAAAATAATGAGTATATAGAAAATGAGCATTACATAGTTATCAGTATAAGTGTGAATAGTCTTTGATCTTATGTTACATTGTATCTGTGCAAATATTGATTCAAAGATAATATTAGGTATAATTGGGCATTAAGCTTTATCATGAGATTTGATAAGGTATGGCTGATAAGAAGAAAAACTATTATACCAAGGCTAAAGATACAATAGAAAAAAAAATGACAAAATATCTTACTTGGTGCTGCTGGGGCAATGACTGCATTGATTTAAGAAAACAAAAGTTAAAGCATAAACATAGCCAATTGTATGAGATCAAAAACCTCAGTAAAAGACTGCATGTTTTCTAAAGAGACAGAAAAAAGACGGTATGCTGAAACAGCTGGGCCAATCATTAAGTCTAAAGGGATATCTGGCTCAGCACAACTAATTAAGCTAAGCCAGATTTAAGAAGAGCATAACTAGCTGGATCTTAAATCTTACAACATCTCAAACAATCTCTAAACAAGTCAACTAAGACCAGTATTGTCAAACAAGTGTCTTGTGGCAGTCATACAATGATAAATAGCTTCACAATTATAAACTGACCAACATGAAATTCACTTTTTAGTAATGGATGCAAATAAAATACCCGAAAATATTTGAAATGATGCAGATGTAAAAATATTGTGTATATGGTAGTTAATGATTTAAAAGTTTTTTTCAACAATCAAATTATTCTGTTGTATATAAAATTAACCTGTACAATAATTTAAAGCATTCAAAGATTCTTGTTATTCTAAATATTTTAGATGATACAAATTAATCTCCAAACTGATGCAACTGTTATTTTATAGTTTCTTAAAATTTTCTCATTAAGTACAAATGTAACTGATAGGCCAAGTTTATAAAAAAGCAATAGAAGTTGATTAGTAGTGTTATGATTATTGTATTACCATCAAACTTACCTCTAACTGGTAAAGCATGCAAGCAGAGAAACAATATATCATTAAATTTCTATTTCATTACCCACAGAAGACTGAATATTACTAAAATTATTCCTACAGTAGCAAATGGTAATATTTAACAATTTGAATAATTTAATTCTTTCAATATTGGCTGCATTGAAATTTAATAATTGCTTAAAGTCTAAAATGCAAAACAAATTAAAAACCAAATGGTGTGAACTAATTGGCCATGTAAAAATAAACATAATCTGATTTAATTACCCCACAGCAGATCTACAAGTGACTCACCATTTCTGGGTCCAGTTTTGGCTGAACTGAGGTCATGAAAATGTCCCACCAAAGCTGCAGGAACTCTTGACTGTGGCCTGTGTTGGGCAGCTGTGTCACAGTACGAGTGCTTGTGTTGAATGAATGGTGCCATGGTTTCACTGCCCCAATGAAGTGCACAATTTTAATGTCGCTGTAAAACCTAAAGGAAATTTTGCACTCCATTAAAATCATTCATCATTAACCAATGACATCTACAGGCTTCATTCCAAGTGTTAATTAAAAACTAGTTTTAAAAAGTTAGTGAACTCACTGTTTAAATGCTGGTAAATAGCTGTAGAAGGCCTGTGACACAACATTGTATGTAAAGGGTAAATGTTTTTTTATATCTTCAGTAGCCCATCCTCTAAAATACAAATTTAGCAATCCCTGGTCCCCACCTAGATGTTTGAGAAAAATGTAGGCAAATAAAAATAAAAAGCAGCTGTCATTTGTCATTACGTATAAAAGTGATTGTATTGTAATTAAACTTACCGTCGAAAGAACCTGAAGTAATAGCAAAAGCCAGTAAATTTCTGTAAGTTTCATCAGATGGTACAAAAACAAAAACACCAGAGTTGAAACAGTCCGGCCACCCAGCATCAGGAGCAGCTGACAATTCTTCCCTATCAAACAAGTCATCTACGTTTTGTATAACCTGACAGACAAACCCACAATATAACTTAATATTTTATAACAAATAATTTTTTTTTTACAGTACAGCTTACTTAGAATACTCAATTCCACTCACCAGTGTGTCTGCATCCATAAATACACATTTTTTGTACTGAGTCAGTCTCCAACAGTGGAATTTGGTAAAAGTAACACTAAGGTCAGGTCGACCTAGAAGCTCAAGGTTGCATGTATCGCTACTGTCAAGGACATTGACTGGAACAGTCTGGTCAAAAAAGTTCCTTAATTGCTCTCTGGTAAATAGAAAAACCCAATCATAAATACATACTCTGCAACAGTGCATTAACAATAAACTGCTTATTTTTGAGAAAACAACTTACTTCATTCCTTCAGAAACCCCATCTGTCACCATAACGACCAGCTGTCTGGTGGTACCCACATTGCGCAATGAGCTCCCCAACACAAGACATCCCAATGCATATGTGTCGTTCGTGGCAAGGGTAACAAAAGCCTCATTTTGTTCTATCAAATTAAATTCAACATAATGTTAACGCCTGTCAAGTATCATGCTTCCACAAAAAGAAATAGCACTTAATACTTATAAGTAAGGCTGCCAACTGGAAAACCAGTATATTCTGTTCTTTTTTTTTTTGGAAAGATTTTAGATACCGATGTCCGATAATACTCATCCAGAAATAGGCTTGTTAGATTGTTAGTAGTATTAGTATTGTAATCTCTACTAGTTTTATGGTTAGAAATTAATGTTAGACTTATGTTTTCAATAACGGGAGAATGTTTATACTGGTGTCCGATGATGGAATCTTTAAAAAAGGGGTGTTAGGTTACTGGTAGTTAACTAAATACACACATGGTTGGCTAATGTCAATGCCAACCCTGTCCCTAACCCTAACCCCAATCCTGGTCCTACCATACGCCTAACCCTAAAATTATTCGAGATATTACTAACAACCCACACACACCTTTTTTTAAAGAAGATTCCATTATCCAACACCGGTATCTATAATCATCCTAGGTAACTACCATGAGTAACCTAACACCCCTTTTTAAATTTAAAGATTCTATTATCTGACAGTGGTATAAAAATTCTCCCCTGCTTTGTGATAGCAGTAGAGAATCTAGAATCTAGTTATGAATATGAGGACAGGTGAAGAGTAAATGGTATAAACAATTACAGTCAATGTAATCTTTCAAAGCTAAGTGGCCTAGCTACAAACTACAATGGAAACAAAACAGAGCTTTAGTAAATGTAAATAGTATACCATGTCAATCTTTTAATAGTAAGGAAATGATAACATGTCACAAAAAATGTGATATTCTGGACTTAACCCTCCAATGTTAAATATTAAATATTTAATGAATATTGTAAAATTAAATGTGGGGTTAGGCCTAGGCCCTAGGCTAGATCTAGGCCTACTATTTTTTAATTTACTAGATCTAGATAGGCCCTAACAAAAGTAAGCTAGATCTAGATCTACCCAGATAATTTAGCTAAATCTAGACTAGATCTAGAGGTCTAGCTCTAGAAATCTAGACTTACTTTTAACTTAACTTTATACTTTATTTGGTTGCAGACCCATGCAGCATAGCAACAAAAGTCAAAAACATGCAAAAGTGGAGACTAGGATTAATGTTAGAAACTCCTCGTCTAGACTCTATTTGTCGCTTATTGTAAATGACTATTTTGAGTCTAGAATTTAGAGTCTAGATTCTGGATTAGACGAAGCCGATTGTTTGAGCAGCAGACGTTTTAAGTTACGTATTCTAGTCTACGTGAACATTCGTACAATACCAGCAGACGTGCGAATAAATAAAATGAATCCTCCCGGCTTATGCTAAGCTTGCATGTTTTATGTCTAAAACCTAGCATTAAAATATCACATTGATTAAAATTTATTAGCGAAAAAATACAGTTATTGATACATACGTAGATCTATTGTATAAAATTACTTAACAAAAAAATTAAGAGATATTTAAATTTACTCAACATACCTCTACGTTCTTCCATGGTTTTCCGTTAGGTCACCGTCGAGCCACGAAAGGAAGTGTGAATACGTCCAATGAAACTATGGCTGAAAGTCATGTGGGCGGTGCTCTAAATAAAAAATAACACCGAAGCTCACGAGAATCACAACACGCTTTCCTCGCACGCACACGGCTTCGCTTGCCTACCTGCAGTAAGTCAAAGGAGGGTTTTGTTGTGTCTGGTTCCAAGATGAGTAAACTCACCTCAGTCTTTAGT